TGGAACAGTTGTGGGATTGGTGGGGTTAATACATAATTCAAGTAAGGTAGAAATCAAATGAATAAGCACACATGACTTCATTATTCCCCCCACACACTCTGTAGATGTGTAATCAAGGACTGAGTGATGAGAACCAAAGCAGTTCTCATGGCTCGGAGCCATCTTCACACAGTTTTGGTATCCTTGTGAAGTGTTGCATCCTTGGGCTAGACTCAAGGCCGGATAATGATGTTTGAGTTTACTGTAAGTTCATTTATTCAGTAAATACAAGAAGTGCCCTCTTGGCATTGCTCTTGAGCTGTTACGCCTCCAGTCCCCTGGCGGGCCCTTTCAGGTCTTTGATATCTCATCGCATCTCCTCCCTTGTCTGCGGCTTAGACTCAGGGAGGGGACCCACAGACCTACACGGCAGCCATCAACAGCCCTCCCACCTGTAATTCTAGGGACCTCTCCTGGCTAGAGTGGCCTCAGTATGCAACCCATTCCACCCCAACCCCAGACACTAATTAAACTTCTGAAAGCCAGGCTCAGGTGATTTCTTCATACCAAAATTTTAGGATCTTTTTTCTACTTGGGTGAGATCATTTGGTAGGTCACAGCTAACCGATGTTTGCTCACTTGGACAGACCTCATCTTGGCGGGTGGGGAGAGGTCTCTTCTGTTGGCAGAGGGATTGGTGGGCCTGGGGGGTGGCAATGGTGAGGTAGGAAGAGAGCCTGAGACCCACACACACCATTTCCTTGGGAAAAACAAGGTTCCTGACCTCAGGAGGGGGCATTCTTGGAGTGAGTCAAGTTATTCTTAAGAAAGAATAGAACATGCCAAGATTAGATATGAACTGGCCCTGTGAGGAAAACGNGGTTCGTAGGTGGCAGTTTAAATAATTTTTAACAAGGCAACTTATATATAAGGCTTTTCTGGGGCAGCCATGGGAAGAGTAGATCTCTGCACATGCCAGCCAGAATCTTAAAAGTTTATATGGAAGCCTTAACTGGGTTTAGTCACATACAGTCCAGATGATCTCAACAGCACATTGCTCTCTCAAGGTGGCATCCTCGAAATGGTTCCCACTGTGGGAACGATGGGCAGAGCATACGTTCCAAGGACAGGGGAAGGAGTGAGAAGCTTCCGATTGCTGGGCTCCAGCTTATGGGTCAACCAGTAGCCACATCCTCTCAACAACTTCCTCCATCAGAGGCAGTAACAACCAGTGGGTTAGTTTAAAAAGAGTTTATTTCTTGCTCACATTAGAAGGTACATGGAGTACTTACTCTGGGCATCAGGTCCACAGAGCATGGAATGTTGTTAGTTCCAGTGACAGGTTGAAGAAAGTACTGTAGTGTTACATACTGCACAATCAGATGTTTCCACCAGAGGCAGCATGTGTCAGCCATGCCCACATTTTATTGGCCAAAGTAAGTTACATGGGTGGTTCATGACCAAGAAGGGAAGGAAGTGCTATTCTACCATGTTCCTGGACTAGGGAGAAGGACTAGTCAGAAACCAGCTCTTCCAGGCATGGGAAGCAGAGGAGAGAAAGCAGGGAAGTAAACTTAACAACTGATTTACTGTGGGAACAGAGGAGGAGGAGGTGAACCTATTTTGAGTCACTTTCATGTGAATGAGTTTCCGAGAAGATATGAGCAATGGGAAAAGGTAGTGAGTAGACATTGCAAGGATGGGGCACTAAGTAACAACAAAGTGGGAAAGGGCCTCCCCAGGGGGCTGAGGAAAGAGGAGAGCTGGGTAGACTTTTCTGCTCAGGTTCTGGATTTAGTATCTGAGCTCAGAAGGGAGATCTTTTATGTATCAGAACCTAAAATCACCTTACTCTTCCCCCTCTTCCGATGCATCATAGGCTGTTACAAAGAATATGTTGCCTGGTCTTTCTACTTCCTAAGAACAGAGGAAGAAAAGCATTTGTTTCTACACTGTGAGGGATTTAGTCGAACCCTGCAAGAATATTTCTGAAGGAAGCTGGTTGTACGTGGATGGGGCTGGGTTTGTGAAGAGCATGGGCGCTTCTTTTCTGGGATGAATAATTTTTTTCTGGGATGAACCTGGAGTATTTGTGTAGATCTAGAGGGCATCATGTACTTTAGGGATGCATTAGTATGGGGTGGGGAGAGGAAGTTGGGAGGTAGACACCAGTCCTGATGGTTTCTCATAAGTCCACAATGGCACCGGCTGGACTGAGAGCCACGCTGCAGTACCTGTGTTCTGCACAAGTCCCTGCTTTGTCCTAATCCCTGGCTGCCAGGTATTTTAGTTCTGAGTCTCTCTCAGCTATTCCTTTTGAATACTTGGAGAATATTTGGCTGAACTCCACGGGCATGTGGGGGAACCCTCAGGCTATCTTAGGTCCTCTCCATCTAGATATACTTGCAAGTCAAGGTTTTCTGCTGTCTTCACAAAACCCTGGGCCAATGCCCCTAAAGGCCTGGGGTCTGCGAGGGTTTACCTGAGCCTGGTGGCAGCATCGGAAGTTGGGGTGTGGTGCTGGCCACAGGATCCCCTCATGTGGATGAGGGCATTTACCCAGTTTCTCCTGGCGTGTCTGTTGTCTCTCCTGTGCACCAGGAACAGTCAGATGTGGTCAGGGCAGAGGGACAGACGTCAGCCTCTGCTTAGAGACCCACTCAAACATCCAGCTCTTCTGCTTTTGTTCTCATCTCTCCTTGCCGATTCCTACCTAGTTTTATCTTATCTTAGGGGTAGAAAAAAACTATAACCAGTTCCAGTACTATTTTTCTTCCAAATATATTGTTTTCACCAAGATTTCAGGTTTTGGAATTCAAAAAGCAAGAGTTTGTCTCTTTTGTTCTGTAGTATAATCCCATCTCTGAGGCAGTGTGCCTAGAAAGCCTCTATGGGGAAAAGTTCACAGATAACAAGAATTACTGAGAAGAGAAACATATCATTTAGTATATCTAAATATTATCCTACTATGTTCGCAAACAGAAGGTGTTAATTATCATTAAGATGCATATTTATACTCAACAGAACTATTTAGTTTTCTGAATGTACATATTATTTTACTCATCAGATTGCATCCTACCTACTGGTAATACAGGACTTGGTGGAGAGTAGGAGCTCAATGAATGTTTGATCACACTTAGATGTTCATAAACAGGAAATCCTCCTCCAGTCCTATCCCTGCCATTCTAAGGGAAGTGCAAGGGTCAGCTGCCTCTGCCCTGTCAACCCTGGGCAGGGAGAGGAGCCCCGTGTTTCTCTATCCATGAGAATGATTCATCCCTTGCTGTATGCTCGTGTAAACATGCTGATGCTATGAGATCTGTTACATTTTGATGCTTTGCCTTAGTGATAACAAGACAGGGATATCTAAACAAATATGTCTGCCTGGAAAGCTTAATGAATATTTTATTACACATTCTTTTCTGTGCTAGACCTGTGGATTTTTATTTATCCAACAGTTTTTAGAGGGAAATATAGACACTGCTAATGTTAGAAACAGTAATTTCCTACTCATAATTATAAAATTAGATGATGACTTCTATTGACGACTGCAGATGAGGATACTGTGGTTTTATGAATGGGTAAAAAATTGGTCACCTCTTCTGTCATCCCAAGTAAGGCCATTAGAAAATTTAGTTCCTGTAAATATAATCATGTACATGTGCTTTTCCTGGACTAGAGGTTCTCATCTTAATCCTTTAGGTGTAGATGAGTATCATTTACCCAGTTCGGGCCTTACTGTTTCACTTCTGCAGAATGACGGAGTTGGCGCAGACACGGTGAGATCCACTGTGGCATGCCTATAATGGAAAGAGCTGGCTGCATAGACCCTCCCTTTTCCTCAGCATGTTCTTCACTCTCTTCCCACCTCCATCCCTTTTTAAAGCAAAAAAATCCTTACAATCATGGGCTTTTGTAATCCACCTTTAGAAACATGCTCCTTTGAATTTTTGAGGTTCAAAAGACTTGAAAGCAGAGCTTTGACGTCAGACCATCCAGGGTAACATGGGAGAGTTACGTGATCTCCTTCAGCCTCAGTTTCTCATTTGTAAAGTACCAGACAAAATACATCCTGCTGTTGTATTTTCCACATATGATGAAGTGTCTGTGTGGGGATCCATGAGTCTGGCACAGAACAAGCTGGCAGTGTTCCCTGTCCTTTGCCATCTCTAAGCACCTCCCACTGACGTGCAGGTTGCCACTTTGGGGGAATACATGGTAACCAGCTGAGAGTCAGGCCTCCAAGGAATGGGACCTCAATGTGCAGTAGGGTAGGAAGAGGGTGCCAGAAGAAGTGGGAGGACACCAAAGAGAAACTTTGCCCCTTAAAAATTATGTGAAGCCTAATCCTCCTGCTGCTGGTTACGCTGGTGAGGATGAGGGTAAGGGTGAGGATGAGGGTGAGAATGGCAGCAACATTTTTGGTCCCCATGTTGGGAAACACTTTGAACTCAGATGAATTGCACAGGACAACTACCAGCTTTGTAGTTGGAGGCTTACACCAACTAAGGGAAATTTCCATTGCAGAGAAGCTGTATTGGAACAATTCACTGGGACTGAAAACAACCGAGTTAAACTTAGTTCAGTACAGCACAAAAGTACATTGAAGAATGCCCTCTAAATAGAAGCTGGACTGTTTGTGGGGTTAAGTCATGGGACCTGGCATGGAGCCTTCTGTCGATGGTGGGGATTGAACCTCTTCTTGAAGGAATGAATTAGTAAAGAAACATGAAATAAATAACAACTTATATCTGAATAGCATGCTTCCTTTAAAGTAAGAGACATAGGAACTTTGTTCTGTTTTCTTCTGTATCCCTAAGGCTTAGGACAGCGTCTGATGCATGGTGGGTGTTCCATAAATATTTGCAGAAAGAAACAAATGAATACACATAAAATAATGTCAAGTGGTGATAATGCTATGAAGAAAGTACAGAAGGATAGGGGAATAGAGTGTAACAGGAAGGCAACTTCAGTCAAGGTGGTCAGAAATGGCTTTTCTCTGCAGATGACAGTGGAGCAGAGATCAGAATGCAATGAAGAAGTGAGTCATGCAAATAACTGGAGGGTTAGCCTTGCAGGCAAATGGAACGGCTAGTGCAAGTGTCCTCAGGTAAGAGAATGATGGGATATAAGATTCTACATTTCTAATCAGCTCTCAGATGATGCCAGTGCAGCTGGTCCATGAACCGCCTTTCACCAGCAAGAATTTGGACTAGAATTTGGCCATGGAGAAAGTAGCTGAAGTAACAAAATCAAGGACCTGAGAGACAAAGTCATTGCATGAGAAAAAGAGGATGAAAAATTGCATTTGCAAAATTGTCTTATCTATATAAAAAATATATGCAAACATGGGTATTAAAAATACCAGTGTTTTCCTCAAAGAAAGGTCCCATTTCAGGTGATTTAAATTCTCTTCTTTTTAGACTGTTCCAAAATTTCTACCAACTGTATTTGTCACTTACAGGCAGAAAAAAATTTTATTTTTAAAAAGTTAATTTTAAAATCGGAAATATGCTTTTAGTTAAGACACTGAGTTCAAAATATACAAAAATAATTTCTAAATTTAAAAAAATGTATATATATGGAAATTGACAGGTTTGTTAGGAAAGTCTTCACAGAGGGGATGATTTTGAACTAAATCTTGACATCTAAGTAGATGAAATATAAGCTTGAGCTCTTCTCTTTTCTTGTCTTCGGGTATAAGTAGGGAAGGTATGTAGGGCATGGATGCTGTATTAGTTATTACACTACAGCATATGTTAAAGGGACTGCTGTATACATAAAGTCAGTCAAGGGCTACACAAAAAGTGCAGAGTATAATATTTAATATTTAAAGTGTGGTGGAAGAAGAAGAAAAATACTTTTAGATTGTGTTTGAAATCGAGCCATCATCCTCTTAATATACAGCAGGCATCAACTTACATAGTCAAGAAGCTATCCTTGAACCTTAGAGAAACCACAAACCTAAACCCTGTAAGAGATACACAAAAAATTAAAAAAGAGGAATCCAATCACAACACTAAAGAAAGCCATCAAATAAAAAGAGTATAAGAGAGGATGAAAGGAACAGAGAGGAGCAATAAAAACAACCAGAAAGCAATGAATAAAATGGCAATAAGTACATACCTATCAATTACTTTAAATGTAAATGGACCGAATGCACCAATCAAAAGACATAGAGTAGCAGAATGGATAAAGAAACAAGACCCATCTGTACACTGCCTACAAGAGACTAATTTCAGACCCAAAAGTGAAGGGATGGCAAAAGATTTCATGCAAATAATAGGGAGAAAAAAAGCAGGAGTAGCAGTACTTATATCAGACTAAATAGATTTCAAAACAAAACAGTACCAAGAGACAATGAAGAACATCACAAAATGATAAAGGGGTCAGTCCCACACGAGGATATAACCATTGTAAATACATATGCACCCAACATAGGTGCACCTAAAAATGTAAAATAAGTAGTAACAGAATTAGAGGAGGAGATAGAATGCAACACCTTCATTTTAGGAGACTTTAACACACCACTCACATCAATGGGTACATCAGTTAGACAGAGAAAAGTAAGGAAACAGAGACACTGAACAATATATTATATCAGATGAACTTAACAGAAATCTACAGAACACTCCACCTAAAAGCAGCAGGACACACAATTTTCTCAAGTGTACATGGAACATTCTCCAGAATAGATCACATACTAGGCCACAAAAAGAGTCTCAATAAATTCAAAAATATTAAAATTGTATCAAGTAGCTTCTCAGACCACAATGGTATAAACTAGAAATAAATTACACAAAGAATAAAGAAAGCCTACACACACATGGAGGCTAAACAACATGCTTCTAAATAATCAATCGATCATTGAAGAAATTAATACAGAAATCAAACAATACATGGAGGCAAATAAAAACAAAAATTCAACAGTCCAAAATTTGTGGGATACCACGAAAGCAGTACTAAGAGGGGAGTACATAGCAATACAGGCCTACCTCAAGAAACAAGAACAATTACAAATATACAGTCTAAATTCACAATTAAAGAAACTAGAAAAAGAACAAATGAAACCCTAAGTTAGTAAAAGGTGGAAAATCATAAAGAATAAAGCAGAAGTAAATAAAAAAGAATGAAACAATAGAAGAAATCAATGAAACAAAGAGCTGTTTCTTCAAAAAAATAAACAAAATAGATAAACCCTTAACCAGACTTAGAAAGAGAGAGAGTACACAAATAAACAAAATCAGAAATGAAAAAGGAATACCCCCAACAGATACCACAAGACTACAAAGACTCTGCACTGAGGAGAGGGATCCAGCTTCAGCGAGATGGGACACTTAATTTGCTTTGCTTTACCATTGTTCTGTAGGTCTGTCACTCCCTCAGTGACATTTTGGAGAGGGGTAGCTGAAGTTTAGGACATGATTTACGTACTTCTAGGATCCTTGGGTAAATACCATCTAAACATCATAATTATTTCTAAGTTAAGTCTTCCATAGACATGCCATGCTCATTCAGGCCTCAGGGTCTTTGCACATATTGTTTCAACTAGGAATGTCATTCTCCGCCTAATACCTCTTTGGCTGGTCAGATACTTACTTTCAAAATCCAGCTTAAGTCATTGTCCCCAATTCTTTCCACCCACCATCTCAAAGCAGATCTGTGTATTTCTTGCTACACAGTATAAACGAAGAGAAAGGTGCTTGAGTGTCATACACACACACATCCCAACCTGCCACTTACTATGTGACCTATTATGTGACTATCCTCTCTCTAACTATATATACATTATATACATTTAGAGATTAATCTAATACATATTTAAAAAATTTTTAAACACTGATGATAATTCCTATTTTTTAGGGTCATTAAATTATCTCATTATTATATGAGATAACACATTACCACATACTGCATTGCCTCAGCAGTAGGATGGTGGGCTCAGACACTGATAGGGAAGGCTGGAACAATGGAGACATGTGGAAGTGTTGGCAAAGCTTGGTAAATCTGTTGCTGGTGAGAACTTGAAAGGCAGGCCAAATACCTGACAAGATTTTATCTCCAGGGAAGAGGTTAGTTGTCACTTGTTGTGTTTAGCAAGGTATAGCAAGCAGAGATATGTTCAATCGAGAATTGTTTTCTTTTGTGAACAGAAATGAAAGGGACTAGATAAGAGTCCAGAAATTTGATGCTTCACAGGACTGGAAAAGAAAACTAGTTATTGACCAACCAGTAGAAGGTACCCCTGAGAAGACTTTGAGCAACAGAGATCTATTTAAACATCTCAGTTTAGTAGATGTTATGCTAGCTCCCATACAGAATATAAAACAACTCGGGACTCTTCTCTACATCGTTTGTAATTTACTAAAAAAGATAAGGCTTGTACAAATAACTAAAGTGGAAGACAGTGATCAAAGCATGTTGCTATAAATAATGGAAAAATTACAGCCAATTGAGTGAGCCCAGAGTAAAGGTTCTCAAGGGGAAAAAGGGGTGTGGGCCTTGGCTACCCACCAAGCCCTCAAACCCTTGAATGAATGAACCTCAGTTGTCTTTCAAACTCAGTGTTTATCTTTTTTAAATACCAGGGTTCCAATTTGGTCTGTGGGATAGTAGCATTGTGGGGATCCCTCAGGCCAGCCAATATCTTTCTTATTGACATCCTTCCCTGACTTTACAAGTAGTTCAGGCTGAGACCAGTATAGATTCCCCATTGAAAGCCTCATTTCGATAGAGGTAGAAAAGGACACTTCTCTCCCTATCTTTCTTCCACCTCCTTGAGAGTATGAGATGCCCCAGACCTTAAAGCACAGTGCAGTTATTTGCAGAAATTTCTCATTTGTATTGTCTCCTGTTTTTAAAAATACTCATTCTTGGGCAAAGAATGGGAACTTGCAGCTTCTTATTCTTTCCTGGCATGAGCTTAGTACTTTTTAGCTTGTTTTTATTGCCTTTTTGGCTGCAAAGAGCATTTGTCTAAATATAGAATGGTACAACACTATGGACAGGACTGAAATATAGTAACATTTTCTTTCCAATCAATTCCCTTGCATTTTCTAGTGAACACTAGGTGCTGTTCTTTTCTCAGAGTGGCAAGAGTGGGCAGCAGAAAGAAAAGATATTGAATTTTGGAGCTTTCCAAAGCGGAAGGCCGTCCCTGCAAGGCCTTCTGAGGTAGCAAGTCTGGGGCAGTCAGTGCTCTGAACACCAGCCCTCCTGTGACCTTGGGCGAACCACACAACTAGGGGTAGGGCAGTGTAGTGGAAGGGCACAGCCTTCGGCAGACCCAGACTGGACCTCCTGCCTTGCCACTTATTTCAGGGTTACTCAAACTCACATGCAGAATGAGTGGTACTAATAAAACCTATTTTAGGGTTCTTACATGGGTTACATGAGATAAATACATGTAAATTATACAGCACATTTTCAAGAAATTGTAGTTAATATTTCTTGAAGGCTGGTATTTTACAAGCATTAATGTTTCAAATGTGAACATTTCTTTAATTTTGTTTCTAGGAGAAATCTTTTACGTAAATTTACTTATGATATTAATAAAAAGTAGCTCTCACCTACCTTATGAATCAAGTGCAAGGTCCTTTTTATCTTCATTCACTCTCATAAGAGGGTTTCTTTCCGGAGGAAGTGCTGTGTAGTGGTTACAGCAACGGCTCTGTTGCTTGTCTATGAAGCTTGAATTCTGCTGTTTGATCTTGACCAAGTTGCTTAACTTTTCTGTGACACAATACTTTATCTACATTTCCAAAATGAGACTTTTCATGAGCTTCATCCCACTTAGTATAAATCTTGCAGTTTTTGGTGGAGAAATACTCCACCAATAACTTTGACAGGACTCCCTGACAGGTTTCTGCAATATATGCTATATGCACTTTGCTATCTTCATTAAATCTAAGCTCTGAATTCCAAAACTCATCTGATTTCAAGGGTTTTGGGTAAGAAAGCTGTGATGCACTGTTACTGAGTTATGTTGACTGACTTTACCTTCACATAACCTTCTTGAAACCTTAAGCTATTTTGGTCATCCTTGGTGTAACCCCTTGAGGGAGCAGTTATTATCCCATTTTACAGATAAAGACAGTAAGGCACAGACAAGTTATATAGCTCATAGTTCATATGTGGTAAAGTGGGAATCCAGACAAGGCATTTCTAATTCCAAATCCCATGCATTCCACTGAAACAGATTAATTCCAGGGCCCTGTACATGCCCCTGCAGAATCAACCCAATTAAAATTCTAATCAGAGACATTTGGGTCTATAGTTAAGGAGACACCCTCAGTGGGAGCTGCTGTGTCCAGACATCTCCACAAGCAGACCAACTCTGGTCTGGTGTGGGCTCTTTACCCTCTTTCCTTGGCCAAGCAGAGGAGGGGTGGGGTGCTGGTAGGGCACCCCTCAGGGGGCTTCCACCCATATGGCAAGATGAGAGAGTCAGTCCTACACACTGTCCACCTGTACTCCTCTGCCCATTTCTCTGATTGCAACCCGGTCTCAGTTTGGGCCTCTCCAGAAGCTAGACACTGAGAAAAGGATTTTAGTGCAAGTTGTTGAGTTGCAAAACACAGAAAACACCGTTTGCCATTTGGCAGTGGAGAAGTAACCCAGGGAAGGGAAGGGAATGTAGCCAATAATAGATGTGTTATTATGTGATTTTCCACAGTGAGTGACTGAAACCTCATGTGGTAATGTGAGGTCATAGGGTAAAACATAGGCCTCAGAATAATCCCACCCAGGGGATGAGATTGCTGGGGTATTTGTACCCCATCTCTGGAGAGTCATTGGTTGAAAGCTACTTCCAGGGATGTCCTTGGCAGTAATCAGAAGCAGCATGGCCTTCCTCATTCTGCAATGTGAGGTCTAAGGTATATGAGTGAAGCATTGACAGAGTCTGTTACATACCCTTTAGCGCAGTTCTGTGTAGTTAATAGCAGCAGCTTTATTTGTGAAAAGCCCGGTATGGATGATGTCTCACTCACCATGAGTTTAATGTCCATTGACAGACCTGCCTCTTCTCAAAAAATTCCCACCATGCAGCCTGCCATGATGCCTGAAATTTGTGCCAAAAGTCATCAGTCTCCAGAGGCCACCAATAAAATGTCAGTATATTACCCAGGAGAAGTAACAAATGAGCTATGACCTTCTTTCCCTAGCTGAGACACGTGTCTCAAGGGAATGGGACTTGGAACAAAGATATTTTAATGAAAGAAATATCAAGAAAGTTCTGGACAAGGCTGAGGGTAAAGGAAGGATAAAAAGGGGTGAGTCACCACTCATGGAGATGCTAGGTAACTTGACATACTAGCTGCCCGTTGGAAATGTACATGAAGGAGGTGGCTTCAGAGAAGGAGGGACCCAAAGGGACATCTTGTTTCACAATTTTATCCAGATCAGGGATAAAGGAAGGATTACTTCATTTGCCACAGCTGAGACTGGGAGCTCCTAGAAAACAGTGACCCTGTCTTCTTGTCTTTTTTCTGTTAATAACCTGACATTTATACCAGTGAGCTCTCTTAGTCTCTACTTCTTCTATTGAGAAAAAAAGTAACACCACCTCCAACTACTTACTTATTGGCAGTGAGACTTCGGGCACATCACTCAACACTCAGTTTACTCAGCAATTAAAAAGTAGATTATGCACCTGACTTCCTGAGCTTTTAGCGAGGACTCAGGTTGTTATGAACTGAATGTCTCGCCCCCAAATTCATATGTTGAATCTCTGACCACCAGTGTGACTGTATTTAGAGTTAAGGCCATTATGAGGTCATCAAGTTAGAGTGAGGTCACAGCGCAGAGTCTTAGTCTGACATAGGGCTCGTGTCTATATAAGAGGAAGTAACACCAGAGATCTCTCTGTCTTCTCGTGTGCACAGAGGAAAAGCTGTGTGAAGACATAGGGAGAAAGTGGACATCTGCAGGCCAGGACAAAGGCCTCCCCAGAAGACAAGCTTTCTGGCACCTTGTTCTTGGTCTTCTAGCCTCTAAAATTGTGATAAAATTAATTTCTGTTGTTTAAGCCACCCAAGCTGTGGATTTTGTTATGGAAACCCTAGCAGACTAATACAAAGCTCTTCAGATAAAGGGCTTATACAACTGACCCAAGGTAGAAATTCAAAAGTGTAGCTATTGCCATTATTATTGCTTTTAATAAAATACCTGCCTTTCTAGGAGAGAAAGAGAATTCTGGAAACCCTGGTACCAAACAGTTTGAAAATCCACTTGAAGTTTCTGACAAGAACTTGAGGACATCAGAAAGAAAGCACACCACACTCACTGAAATTTTCCAGTCCTATTTCTGTATACAAGTCCTAATGATTTGTGTCAAATAATATGACTGCAGCTTTCCTCGGAGGAACTTAATGTCCTCATGCCAACTACATATCCATTAGACAAATGTTTGCATCCAAGGATGAGCAAGAGAATATCTGAGGTGGCTGAGTGCCTGAGGCCAGAGCCATGCAAAGAGGGGCACTAATAAAATACAGTAATTGTATTTGTACCACTCTCTCTGTAGTCTAGGCTGTGAAGTCTGGAAGTAGACCAGACTGGTCAGTTTTAGGAATAACAGGGTTGAACTTAGAGTACAAGACAGAATTTTACTTCAAGGTGGCCTTAAGTAATGGCTGTTCCATCTCTTTCAGACGTACGGCTTACTCTGACTCATGGGCACATCAGGAAGAGGGGCCTCCCAAAATTCCATTCGTTCACCAAAACCCTGAGGTCTGATTTCATGCTGTTTACATCCCTCGGGACACCTCCCCGTCAGGCCCCTCCAGGTGCACTGCTGGGCCGCAATCCACCCACGGACAGATGGAGGAGATGGCAGAAGAGGCCTATCAAGCAATTCCGGTTATTTTTGTCTTCATTTTCAATCCAAGTGAGTGCATTGGAGATGGGACGAAAATCTGTTTGGGAAAACAGAACCATCTGGGATCACTGGTCAGCGTTCTGAATAGTATACAAAGAAGAAAAGAAAATGTGCTGACTTCGGATAAATGGGAAAATGGTTACTTGGCTTAATTGCAACCAGTTGAGAGGGTTCTTTTGTCTGCTTTTTTCCCTCAAGTTTTTCTTCAAATCAGTGTTATGCAACTGTCCCCAGAGACTCCAGAAAACCCAGCTGAAATGTCTGTTGTCCTTTGCTGCTACTGCCTCTCCACCCACCCTGGCTTCACAGAGCAGGGTGTTGTAGCCAGTAGGGTTCCTATGCATTTATTTCTGTTACAGGTAGATGAGGTGCTCAAAGGTGAATCATTAAACCCACTTCTTTTTGTATTTCTCAGATGCTAAGTATTTGTTCTCTGATTCAACATATTCATTAAATCCAAATGTTTACTCAACACCCACCATGTGCCAGGCCCTCTTGAAGGCGCTGGGAATGCTAAGGCAAATGAGACACAGATCTGCCTTCAAAGAGCTCCAGTTTATTGGGAGAGCAGAGAAATATTACTAACACATGGCTGCAGAGGAGGACAGAGCATGGAGAAAGGCTTTGAAGAGAGTACCAAACGATATGGAGGTGACCTTCCATGAGGGAGAACAAGAGAGAGGAGCATGAGTGAGAGGGAACATGTAATGGAGAAAAAGCAGCAGCCAGCTGGGTGTTTGTTTGAAAGAATCAGTCTCTTTGATGTACGGCTGGCTGAAGGCTCCTGGTGTGTTGGTGTAAATCGCAGACAACTTTATCTTGGAAGTAACCAACTTTACCAGGAAGTAACCTCAGTAGGTGGAAGCCTGAATCAGAAGAACCGTTCTAACCTTGAGAGATGTGAGAAAGGTAATCATTTGACCAAGCAAAGAAGGAAGAAAGAAAAGAGGGAGGGAATCACCTGTAGACTAAAGAAATTATCATGCATGAATCCATCTGCCTCCATTCCATAAGCCCAACCCCTCTTCCCATAAGGAGTTGAGAAACTGGTCCACCTGAGATTCTCTTTAACATGAGCAATTGTTATTATATATCTTTATACACTCTCTTTGGCATAAGAGATGCATTATTATACATCTAATAAATATCAAATTCAGTGTTTCCCTTCTTTCTCAGAAGACTGAGGAATGGACTGACTTTACACTAAACCAATGAGAAGTGCACTGACTTAGGAAAAGTGATGACAATATAACATCTTTTATTACATAGGGTGATATTATAATGGATAAAATTAAATATATATTATTATGTGGTTTTAGCATAATAGTTAATTAGCATGTAGCTTTGGAATTATAATATTGGTAGCTAAAATCTGTTATAAATAAGTCAGAATGCTACTCAGATTGTATCACTCTTAGGTTTCTAGAAAGGTGTCCTAGCATATGCCTAGACAAATGTAGTACCTCTCCTGAGGAGCAGGGAGGTGAGGGGTAGGAGAAAAATCTAGTAGCAACTAAGAGCTGAACTTAAGGATTGCTGTAAGATTTTCAACATGAATTGGAGCCAGTAGTAAAGCTTGTGTAATGGCCAACATTTAAGGAGGAAGAAGGTGCAGCAGGAAAGGAAACTTTGCGAGCACTGTCAACCCCTCCAGAGCTGCATTCCCCTGATTTTCTCTCTTTTTTTCCCCATTAGTTCATTGAGTTTAACTAATGAGATTTAGTGTTTTTTTTATTATCTGCATAGCTATTTTGTACTTATCTGGAGACCCAGATAGTGGTGGTAAAGAAGTTCTCCCAAATTTGATTAGTCCAGAAATCACATGGCTGAAATCAGGTTTTACCACCTCAGAATTTCAACATAAATCTTTGCATCCTAAGTACCCAGAGTAGATGCTCAACATGTTCATTGTTGCATAAACAGGCTTCCTTGCTATGCCTAGTTTTATCACTAAAAAACCTATTTCTTGAACAAACATTTTTTAATTGCCTACCCCATGCAGGTGGTGTGTCAGGCACTAGGCAAGAGACACATGACCTTATCTTCCTGGAGCATGTTGCCCAAAAGGAGAGAGAGCAATTAAATAAAAAATTATAAGAAATTATGATAACATTACAATATGGTGAGAGGGGTGCTGATGGAGTCAATACCAGGGGGACCACATCTGCTGGCGAGGTGGATCAAGTGATGTTTCCCGGGATAAGTGACTCAGATGAAGTTAGAGTTCTCAGCTCTAATGGGATTTATAATCCATTTGGAGAAAACGTCACACATGCAAGATTAAAAAACAGCATGATGTAAGATACTCTAGGTTCAGTATTAGATCATTAATTATAGATGGTAGAAAGGGTGAAATCAGAAGGCAGAAGTAGGCACAGAAATTTTTCAGGAGAAAGGGGCCGTGATTGTCCTAGAAAAATGGGTAAAACAGTAGCATAGAATAAAGGTAGAAAAACAGGAAATTGGCACACATTGGGGGAGTGATTCCTGCCTAGATGCATGGTGGCAGGAAATAGAGAAGCTGAATTATGTTAGACCTGCAGAGACAGGAGAAATAAAAATGTAAGCATAGTCATCATTAGTTATTATTTTTAATAATGTGATCAAAGCTACTGCCTGTCAAGTCCCAGTCTGGGTTTGGTGCTGGGCAAGAAATGTGTGGCAATCTGCCTGCAATCCGTCTTCTCACTTGACCAGGGGGAAGCCCATGGGAAAGAAAGAATGATAACTCAATCAATCTTCCTGTAAATATGCTAACATGGGACCTCCAGGTGAACACACTATGATATTTGCTAGCACAGGGTCCTTATCTATGAAGAGCTCTTATAAGGAGGTACCTGGTCTGCCTGAATTGCCTATCTGTAAAAAATCTGGAATCCATAGATGTACTGAGCATGGGTCCCCAGGAAAACGTGAGGTAAGCTATGTAACCATCTGAGTATAATATGATGATACCCCATGATGACTCTTCTGTGTAGGTGGTGTGGCCACAGATACGGCTCAAAGGATTTTCTGTGTTAATCCGGGCAAGAGAACAGCGTGATGTGGCATGGAAGGACCTGGCGGGCTGCACCAGTCCCAGGCCACGCACTGCCTTACCTGAGCCTTGTGATTGCTTGTTTCATTGAAGTTAGTAGGAAAGCTTGATCCTGTGTAGGATCTCTATTCTTATGAGTCTGCTTTAATAACCTGGTCCTTCGTGTTTTCTTAGGTACTTTATACATAATGTCTGACATCAACCCTATAAGGCAGGTGCTCAGAAACATTACTTTGTCCGATATCTCACAGTAAGGAAGCAGCAGGCTCCAACTTTAAACCCAGATCTGACTCCACAGCTTGAGCTCTTCCCACTGGTCTATGTTGTTTGAGTTCTTATTAAACTTGAGCAAAACAAAACACGTCACAGGGCCCTAGGAAGGTCCTCAAGGACCTCAGGAAGCCCCACAAGCCCCTTGAGAGCCATTTCCCCAAAGTAAAGGCTTAATGGGAAAAGTCTTTCTGGTCTAAAACCTGATTCACTTGAGACCCAAAAGGTAATGTTTGTGTCACATTTTCCATGGAAATTCATTTTCACCAGAGGCCAACACTTGTATTTGCACTGGGGCTCTGCAGCTCATGGAGGGTTTGTGTGCTGTCAGGGGACTAATGCTGCATTCTTGGAGTGCTGAGAGAATAGCCAGAGGACTCTGCCCTTGGTCAGATTCAGAGGATATGAAAGGAAGGTCCTAATTCCATTTTTAGCCCTGAAGCAAACTGGGCCTTGTGGGACAGCTCGCTAATCCCTGGTGGGTTGGATCAGCTATAGTTCACATGGACTTCAGTTTCTGAGGACGTTTGCATGCATTCATTCACAATTCTAGTTTGTGGTGTTTGGGTTTATTTATTTATTTATTTATTTGGTCCTTTGCCAAACATTTGGATCTGCTTCTTATTCCTTTTTTTAAAAAACTAGTTTGTGAACGTGGGAAAGGGGGTAGGCCATTCCATTTCTTCTTTTCTGGAAAAGTAAGTGGGTTGATTCTAGTGGCCTCAGGTGGAGTCCCATTCTTAGGGGACAGCTGCGTAGGGCAGCAGCACCTTGGTTCCTGTTAAAAGCACCACAGGACACTCATAGCTGGGATGTGACAGATTGCCCCATGCCTGGACCTTTCTCTCAGAGCTGCCAGCACTGTTAGTGGACATACGGAGCTGTCTTCTCTTCTTTGGCTTTGTCTCTTTAATCACTTTGGTGGTAGCTATCAAACCACAATCTAACAAAAGTGCTTAATAAATATAATAAATAAATTGCAATACCCCCAGAAAAAAAATGTTCACTTTTATAGATAGAAGAGCACCAGCATCTTTATTTCAATAATCAAGGCAGACCTACACAGACCTGGTATCTGTCGATGGCAATATGTTGAAGGAAACTTTGCCTTGGGTCTTTCCAAGAAAAGCAAAGGCTTGGTTGAGGATTACTGAAGCCCATAATGCTGAGCTGAGGGAAAGCACATAGCACACCACAGTGCTATGGTGTAGACTGTAGGGTTCTCTTTTTCTGGATTCCACGGGTCCTCTTAGCCTACACTATTAGTTTCCCACTCTGGTCTCTACTGGGTTATTACTTTTGTTTCTGGACCCTTAACCATCTTTAGAGCCCTTAGTCTTTGTTTATGCTCTTATCCAGTGTTCCCTTTACAAACAACTTTCTTAATTACAAAGGAGAATTTGATTGTTTCCAATGCATAGTTATTTACATTATTTGCCCGCTTATGCTAATGGCCCTGTGTCTTTCCAAACCCAGCACTAGATGTTCTTTTTATCTTGGTGCCCTGCTCTTTATACCCTTTCTTTTGCCTGCTATGTAATGAAAACTGATGAACACCCTTTCTTTTTAAGAGAAGAGGAAACTTCAGCTGAATATGGATTCCCTGCCATGTGCCCTAGGGCTGTCTTTTTAACACCATAGTCCATTGGAATCATCTTGGCTATAAGTAAACCGACTAGTGAGCTAATAGTGGCTTATAAAAGAAGATATCTCCCTTCTGAAGGTGATTCATACAGTAACAAGATGGTCAGGATCCAGATTGACCTGCCTGTCATTCTTTAGTCTTTCCCCTATGGATGCAAGATAGCCATACCAACCTGGAACATTATGTCTTCACTCACATCTAAAGGAAGACAGAAGAAGTTCATTCCATTAGAGTTTGCTCCCTCTTTTTTTAAATAGAGAGGGAAACTTTCCCAAAAATATACCTTCTAGCAGATTTCCCCTTAGTACAATGGGCCAGGTTAGGGGCACATGCATATCCTCCATCTACAGTGAAGTTGAAAAAGTGAATACCTGGTAGTGGAAGTGAACTTTTATGCAAGAGAAAGGGCAACACCTGTTGGGTAGCCAACCAGTGTTACGACTAATGCTTGTGTTCCCCCAAAAATTCATATGTTCAAACCCTACCCACCAATGTAATGGTATTAGGAGATAGGACTCTGGGAAGGGATTAGTAATGGACGAGGCCATGAGGATGGAGCCCTCGTGAATGGGATTTTGCCCTTAGGAAAGTCATGAGAAAGCTTCATTCCTCTCTCTGCTCTTTTCACCACGTGAGGCTACAAGGAGAAGCCCGCATCCCGGCAGAGGACCTGACCGTGCTGGCACGCTGGCCTCAGACTTCCCCTCCAGAGCTGTGAGAAATACATTTTTGTTGTTCTTAAGCCAAGCAGGCTGTGATATTCTGTTATAGCAACCCCAACAAACTAAGAAAACCACAGCCATTAAATATGCTTCCTGAGTGCAGCAGCCCTGGGATGGGTTATATTTAATCACTCACACTGCTGCTGCGTGAGCCACACATTGTCATTAAAGTAGAGACCTCAAAAGTTCAATGTAAACCCATTCTTTCTCCTCTAGGAACACAATGCTGCCTACTTCAGTTTTTTTTTAAACTGTGGTAAAATATGCATACCTGAAATTTACCATTTTAATCATTATAAGTGTATAGCTTAGTGGCATTAAGTGCATTCACCTTCGTATCACTGCCATCCTTCTCCAGAACAATTTCATCTCCCATGCCCATTTGAGAATGAATTGCCATTTCCCCACCCTCGAGGTAACCTGCATTCTACTTTCTGTCTCTTTGAATCTGGCTCCTGTAGGCACCTCATGTAAGTAGAATCATATATTTGTCCTTCAAGCTTATTTTCAAGATATTTCATAGCCCCTGTTGCAATGCCTTTCCTGCCCCTCCTGTACTCTCTTCCTCTCAAACCCCTTTCATCCTTCAAGGCTCAACAAGATTTTCTATTTCAGTCCCTGGGGTCTCCCCCTATTCTGGACTCAGCATGCTCAGAGTACTGGACTCCCACACTCACTTGGTCCTTACATAAACTGTCTCAGCTCAGATCTTGAGTAATTTTCCTGTATTAACTATCATTCCATGAGCAATCATCTTGTCTCTTCAACTAAATCACCATGGAGTGCAGAGACTGTGTGTACCTCACTTCTCTCTCTAATCTCCACAACCCAAGCCTTCTAAACAATACTCACTCTGCGAGTACTTGTCAAATTCCCTACTCCCTTTAGGAAAGCTGTAGAAACCAGCTGTGTGATCAAGAAGTTCTGCCTTAAGTCTGATCATGTTCTCTTGAGTTGAAACTTAAGCAGGATCAAGGACATTTGTTTTATTTATGTATTATTTATTTTGATTTTTTAAATTGAAATATAGTTGATACACAATATTGAAGTCCTTTTTTTTTTAAATTTGATCTTCCCTGAGATGCAGAACAAATGTCTGATGTCATCTTTAAACCTTTATCTACACTTGAGGAAAGCTAATATAGCACCCTTATCTTCTGCTTTTCCAGGCTAAGCCAAGATGGTGAAGCTGACCACTGTGTTTATACAACACCTTGTCCTGAGAAACCCATAACATTTCTCTCCCATTAAGATCGGTTCTTTTTAGTAACTAAAAGTCAACAAAAGTTTTGCAGTTTGGGAAAGAATTCTTCATGTATAGAAGATGTCATAGTTGGGAAGTCCTGAACCTCTGGTAAGCCTTTATTTTTTATAAAAAATCCATTACCTGGCCATGGTTTAATATTTACTAAAACCCTGAGGCTATCACACACATGCACACCTGACACCCTTTATGTGGGCTTGATCACACTATGCACATTATTAGATCATCTCTAAAATCAGCACAGGAGCTTACCAGAAGACAATCTAAAATATTCAAGGATTGTAATAAAATATTAGACATAACAACATCTGGATGTGGCTTAGTCTCTTGAGTATTACAATTCAATGACTAAAAAGGTTTTAGCAACCAGGATTTTCTAATGATGAAAACTGCTCTTATGTAATTTATATTAGCAAATTTAACTGAAGTAGTTCTATTCTAACTGAATCCTATTCTAACGAGAACAATGGTGATTATAGATTGACTCCAACCCAATTTTTCTTCCCCAGCTTATAATGAAAAACATGGGAATCAAAACACTGTGGGGAGCATGAAGGACCTGGAGCTGTGTAATTTTGGTAAAAGCATCCACTTCCCTTCTCAGAAGATTGGTCTGCAGTCATTCGGGCACAGATGTGAGGGAGATTAATCTTAAATATCCTGGAATATCAAGGAAATCTATCTGAGTCTCAGAAAGTTTGTGAGCTGGTTCTATGGGTTAAATAATATTTGGTTTGCTGCGCTGGCTTGTTGTGGGGCTTAAGAGGAACCTCTTCTTCCTCTGAAGAACCATGGATGTAACAAACTGGTTGGCAGAATGGAAAGTCACACCAGGGCACCTGGGCGGTTGGGGGAAACCTGTGTGGAACTATTCATGAGCTTTCTCTTTGGTTTGATTGTGTTTCTAAAGGTTTGGGAAAAGTCAGGAAATGTTAGGCCTGCTTCAGATTGGTTTATAAAACACTCACATAGTGGCATAAAATGTTTAATGGAGAAATCTTATATAATTTTATGTACAATAGTTTTGACACCAGTCCTAAACATGAAAGTTGGAAAGAGCTAGAAAGTAACACAGCAGAGGCCTTTCCCAAGTCAGAAGAAAGAGCATGCTGGGACACATGGCATTTAGAAATGAATTATTTGATCCTTGAGTTTTGGTTAACCACAAAGGAAAGTTTGTGGGAATGAAAAAGAAAAAAACCTCTTCTCTTTTAAAAAAGAGGCAGCAGGGACATTTAGAGGAGGTTGAAAATAAGAATGTTAAGAAAAATAACATTTTATTTTTTGATAAAAGCAAGTAGACTGTTGTTGTTTTTTAGTCCATTTAGAAGTTCTAGAAGCAATGCAGTCTTCCTGGGGAACTGCAGACAGGCCAGGGACTTTCATAACATTCATATATTTAGTCACTCATTTATTCATTAATGATCTGTCCATAATCATTTATTAGAAACCTGTTATCTCTCAGGCACTGGAGGTACAATGATGAATGAGAAGTTCTTCATGTGGAGGAATTCCAGTGTGCTGGAGGGAGGTATGCATAAATAGATGGTTAGGGTAAACATAGTAAGTGTTAAATTAGACTTTATAACAGGTAGCTGTGGGCACACAGAAAAAAACCCTGAGTTGTCCACATTTGCTGGGAAAGGTTTCACAGAAAGTGATATTTGCAGTGAGTTTTGAAGAATGAATGAGAGTTCATCAGTTTAAGAGGTTAAGAAAGAAAATCCCACTGAGGGAAGGACCTGGGCAAAAGCACTGAGGTATGACCAGGTGTGCAGACACCTGGGAACAGCAGTAAGGTGTTGTGATAGAATGCCAGCAGAAGGTGCAGGAGAGGTGAGGAGGAAGAGCAGAAGCTGAAACCGTGGTGGGTGAACAGGCTGCCTGCCCTCCACTGAGCCTGTGAGACCCAAGTGGGGGCCAGGCCAGGGCCAGAAGGCCCCCATGCAAGCCATGGCTCCAGGCCCTCCTGCCAGCACACATGACAATTTGTGGCAGTTATGTGTGCTGTGTTAAAGTGATTAGAATTTGTGGAGGAGGGTGCATAAGCTATTTTAGCGATTGGTCAGGGAAATCCCCTCTGAGAGGTGACAAGCTGAGAGTTGGATGATGAGAAGTTATGTGGATTAAGAAAAACAAAAACAAAACCTAAAATAAAAACTAGAACAATCATTGATGAAGGAAAGCAATATAATCCATAATGAAGACACTTAGAGCAAGAAGAGACCTGCACCATTGGGACCTGCAGATACACTGCATGGTATTTTTGTGGAAAAAAAATGAGCCCCTCATTTCCTCTTTCTAGGAAGGAAGCTGGAACCCAGAGAGGTAAAGACACTTACTTAAGGCAACACAGCTACTTAATCATATAATTGGGAACAGACTCAATTTCCTAACTCCCAGCTCCACTCCCTACTGGATAAATCTGTCTTAGCATCATGAACCTCATTTTCCTTTTGGCAAAAAAGGGTTACTGTGACAAATGAAAAATGTAAATAGACTAAGTATTTAAAAATGGTAGCTATTTTTATTATATGTTTTGTTTTAATCTTACAGTGTAATTTATAGTCAATTATGTTATTCGTAATAATTGTTATGATTTTAGTAATATGATTTTAGTATAATATTTAGTAACTTAATAATACAAAAAACATGAGAAAGGCAGTGAGCATTCAACTCCTAATTGTTTTAAGTAACTGTCTGGGGTGAATCTCAGCCGCGGTCCAATGCAGTCAGTATCAGGTGTCACCGACCATTTGCCTAGAGGTGGCTGTCAGAATTACAGACGCTGTCAGGGAAGAAGCAACGGGCCTCTACACTGCTGGCCTTGCAACCCCACCTTGAGAAGTGGTGCCAAGTATCACAGTGCTAAGAGAGAAAAAGGAGACTGTGATTTTCCCCATAGAAACAGCTGTCATTAAGCTCTTAGTGGGAAGCTTTGTAGACAGGACAGGGGCTGGAAAGAAGATGAAGGCTTTACCAGGATGTGAAAGTTGAAATGATGAAAAGGGAGCACGGAAAGCATATGGCTCAGGAAAGGGTTTTCTGCCTTCTGAACAAGGCCTTCCTCTGGGTGCTTACCTATTTACATCATATTCCCTCCCCTACCACACCACCTCTGCCCTTTAAGCTTATATTTTTGTAAATATTCAAGTAGGACAAACAATATGATAAATAAGGTCATAATCATAAATAAGGCCATATCATAAGTTCCCAGAGTGATAGTGTTGAAATATGCATGTTGGCTTTCCTTGACTTCAGGTCATTTGACTTACTTGACCTCACCTTTGGGGTTCAGCCAAGACCTAGCCCATGCTTTCTCCATTATGTTGCCTTGCATCTGAGTTCAGTGACTGTGAAACCACTGTGCAATTACCATTAACCCGCAGTTTGATATGACTGTTGCATGATCGTCTGAATAACACTGGCAATGAGGCATTAAGCAAGTGCAGGTTGCATGTGAAGTAGTGACTGAGAGCCATGCCTGAGGCTCACTGCCCACTGCCTCGGTGCTCCAGTCCACCTGGTCAGCACCAGGACCCTGCCCCCATCATTCCTGAGCAGGAGAGGCCCATCAGGGTAATAAATTAATGCCTCTGCATCTTCCACCCCTCCAGCGCCCTCAGCGTGCCTTACAGGGGACACAGCGCCCTATTAGGATCCACAGAGGAAGAGGGGCCACATTCTTAGCCTGAATCTAGCAGGCCTGGATTCGAGACCTCTCTATACCACTTAGTTCAGCTTGGGCCAATTATTTAATTTTTCTGAACTCCATTTCTTCAAATGTGAAACAAATCATGTCTATGTTTATGCACCCTTTTCATCATTTCAACTTTCACATCGTGGTAAAGCCTTCATCATCTTTTCAGCTGCTAAGAATAAAAAAGTTTATTATTGTATATGAAAACGTTTTGATAAATAGCACTGCTCAAATGAGCACAAGGTATTATTCAATAGTCTACATGGAATTTTTGTGGGAAAAAAATAAAACCTAGTAAGAACTCAATTATATTCACATTACTTCATTCATCCACCCAACTTCATTCACTCAACAAAGTTTTATGAGACAACCAGTCTAGGCCAAGCCTGTGTAGATATACAATCATGAACAGACCAGGTATCATTTCTCATGGAACTTACAGTCTATTTAGGGGAGAGGGACACTGCAAATTAATAATCATGCAAATACACTGATAATTACCAGGGTGCTAGGTGCCATGAAGGAAAAAGTGCATGCTGCCATGAGTGACCATAACAGAGGCAGGTCATACACTTCGTCGTGCTGACTGGTGGCATGAGCCTTCCAGGCAGCAGGAAGTGGACAGGGGAAGGTCTTGAGATAGGAGAGAACTTGGCACGTTCAAGGATCCGAGAAGCTAGTACAGCTGAACGCAGGAAAGAGGCGGATTGTGTCGCCACATTTGGGCAGGCACAGTCAGAGTCACACACAACTGCAAGGCTGGGAGAGCTGGGAGGTGTGGGGCTAGTGGAGGAAGTATAACTAGAAGCTGCAGAACTGAGAGGATGGGCCTGCTAGGAGATGTGGTAATAAGTGTTCCAGTTCAGTTGAGATAAGACAAATTCACAAAGATTCTAATCTCTTAGGCTCGGAGGGTTTTTTTATAGCAGTGTTCAGCATTTAGATACAGACATATGAATTAATTTTGACCCTGTTAGTTGTGAGTTTCCACTTTGTATTGTTCTATATAAACATTTCTACATGTTTGTAGTGCATGAACTTATTTTTATTAACTGCCTAGTATTCCATCGTGATCTCCATTATGATATTTTTGACCCTTCTACACACTGGTGTGGTTTTAATTCTTTATAGTTTTTTCCTTAAAAATAGTGCTGCTGGGAATATTTTTGTTTTCCTCTGAGTTACTTCCTTGGGTCGCATTCCCCTCCTGGGTCACTTCTGTGCATGTCAGATGGCCTCTGTGCTGCTCACAGTCTGCTGTTGTGCCATGCTTTATTTATCAGGATGTGAGCAAATTCCCATGGTGCCAGCTGCCTCAGTGGGGTTGGAGCAGCAGGAGCAGGGGAAGCAGGAAGAGGGTCATCCCCATTAGAAGTCCAGAGAATGCAGGCTGTTGTGTCAGCCCTTTAGAAGGTTACCTCTGTCACAGGTTTGTTTCGCACTCCCAAACTGCTTGGCCCTTAGCCTGACAGGTAGCTCATTCCCCTCCCTCACTCTGTGATCTCCCCCAAGGGACTTCCTGCTGAGTGTTGTATGTGGAACCAAAAAGAGTAAGGTAGTGGCAAGAATTGAATTGTTGGGGAAGGGATGTGAGAAGAGGCATAAAATCTCTCTGGCTGTAATGAACTAAAAGTTATAATTATGTCATCTAAGGAAAATAGTTCCCTGAGTGTCAACATTTTTATTTATTCTTTTATTTAATATTTCTTTCTGAATTTCTAGATGTTGTTTAGAAATTGGTTAGGGACCGACTCACCAAATCCAGCAGATGTCAGGGAAATTCATCCAACAAATATCTTTTCCTTGCCTGGTCATAGTTCACCCACTTATCTGATCGATTGTATCTCTTAAGCATTTATTTTTAACACTGACCAAAAAGTTAATGGAACAAAGCAGAGGAATTGAACTCATTTGATCTGGAACAATGGTAGACTTTAAGTTCAGTTCTCTAGGGAAAAATTCTATTCCCTCTATGAAACATTATCTCATAACAATAATTAGTCTAAAGTTCTTAAAAACTGGCAAGTCCCAAGGGGTTTCTCTATTTTATCAAAGCAAAAAAAAAAAAAAATGAGGAACATAATAACCATTTTGTCCTCTTACCCAAAGAGGGTATGTAAGGAGAGAAAACAGAATCTCAGGCATTTTGATGTGAACCGTCATTGCTGACTGTCAGCAATGTCTAGAGTTAGTTAACAATCATGGCAGTGATAGGGAAAGTAACCCCATGGAGTGGTCACTGTATGCCAGGCACAGTGCTTGACATTTTATCCTATCTCACTCCCATGAGGTGAGGTTTCTCAAGGTCGCATAGCTAGTAGGCGATGGACTCAAGATTCAAAGCGTGATCCCAAAGCTAGTGCTCTTCACCTCCTCTGTACCCTGGAGCTATAGCGGCAGGAGGCAGTGTCGGGTAGCAGGACAAGCACATGCCAAAGGTCGGAGCATGGAGAAGCTCTGGGCGTGGTAGCCTCTAATATGTTAGGTGAATTTAGGTAAGTCACACAACCGCCTTCAAGTTCCTTTTCCTGTAAAGGAGAAAGGACTTCTGTTTTTCTAACTCCTATTGTGCAGGCATGCTACATAACAGCTGTGAAAGCTCTTTGACAACCAACCATAAAGTCTTATAGGAATAGAAGGACTTACTATTTTGTATTGGGATTGCTATTAGTATGTGGCAAGATTCTCATACTTAAAATACAAGATGTGCAATAGCTGCTCTGGAATAAGATTGCCCAGAGGGGTCAAATTTGAATGTCACATTCAGTGGGGTTGTGGTTCAAAATGAATACTCTGATACATTGACATGCCAGAGAATCAGATAATTCACAGTCAGAAGGCAGCAGGAATCATGTATGTTGTGTATATGACTTGATTGATGTGGTGACAGATTTATTCAAAGCACTACCAGGCTCCCTAAACAGAGCTCCTTCTAGGAAAACTGATGGGTGTAGGAGGCTCCCTCCAGTGATGCAGGCTGGGAACTGAGCATAACATCATGTGGGAGATTTCTAGAACAAGTCTGAGGGGTGGTACAGGAATCAGGTATTCTTCAGGGGGATTTTGTTGATACTGTCCTGACCCAGGCCCCACCATGCCTTGAGCAATCAGCACATCTCAGGTCTTGGGTTTCTAGATGATGGAATACATTTTATAGCTGATCCAGACAGCAGGACATGGAATTCAAGGCAGAAATTTCATCCTTACTTCATATAAACCCAATGGACTAGTAGATCTTAAAGTCCAGGGAGACTAAAATCTCTTAGAAAATTTATTCAAAAGTAGATGTTTGGACTCCATTCTCAGAAGTCACTATTCCATTGGTCTAGGGTGGGACCCAGGACTTTGCATTCAACCAAACTCTTAAGTGACTTTGATGCAGATAATGAACAATTTCCATTTCACAGGGAAAAAATATAGGAGGTGACATATGGCCTCAGAGTGGAAAGATAAGAAGGAGCCTCTCAAGGGGGGCGCTCTGCCCATTCAGAGATAGCAGAAGTTGCCCATGTGCACACCCTGAGTGAGAGGTACCATGATAAAAATTTTAAACCTAACATTTATTGAACACTTACAATGAACCACTCTTCCATACATAAATTATTATAATATAAAATAATGTATATAAATTAACTTATTTAATCTTCACCATGATCCCAAGAGACATAGAAAATATTTTCTCTTCTTTACAAATAGGGTAACAGAGATACAGATTACCTAAGATGCTGGCACCTGTGATACCATGTCCTGGTTTCATAGTCAAATGTAAAAATGTTAACATCCCAGAAGAACTCTCTAGGAAAGGGACGGAGTGCTCAAATTCCATCCAGAGGGAGAGCCATTGCTCCTACAACTCTAGCAATATAGCTGGATTCTAATACTAAAAATTCATGCTAGCCTTGTAACTTAGGGCAGGGATGGAGCTTGGGGGAAGTTGTCCACCCTAGAATCCATTTCGCAGGGTTCAGACATTGAGATGGGACCATGAAGCTCCAATAGTTCATAAGGCCCCAGCCTCTAATGCAGAAGTTGCCCATGTGCACACCAAGCAATTCAGTGACATCTGCTGGGTGTTCTACAATTCAACTCAAGCCTGACGCTGCCCATTCAGAGATAGCATCAGATTCCAAAGGGTAAGGTCTCAGTCCCACAAGACTACCCTATACTTTGGAGACCAATTGCAAAGGCATGTTGTCAGCTATTCTGACCGGTGGGCTTATAAATGAGAGATTCCCATGACTCCCTCCTTGGGTTTGATTAATTTGCTAGAGCAGCTCACAGGACTCTGGAAACCAGTTTACTCACTAAGTTACTGGTTTATTTCAAACAATAAATATTAACTAAGGTCCTATTCTTTTTCAGGCATTGAGCAAACAAATATGACATCTCTTATTAGAGACACTAGGTACTGCTTACTGTTAGATACAGACAAGTGAACAAATGTATCAACTAAACAATTACAAACTGTGAAACATGTTATGACTTGAACTTCTGAGATTTATGATCTCAGGAGTTATCTTGGCAAGAAGGAGCACTACTTGTAGATATTGGGGTCAGAGAAGGTTTTTTTGAGGAGGTGACATATGGCCTCAGAGTGGAAAGATAAGAAGGAGCTAGTGCTGCAGAGGGGAGTGGGAAGAGCATTCCAGCAGAATCTCTGGGCGAGACTGGGGTTGTTGTTGCCCTGTTTTCTGGGTGCTTCTAATGAAGGAGCTGTGGTCTTGATGATGTCCTTGTCAAATGAGAAAACTAAAACAATTTGATGTCCTTTATCCAAGGGGAACAACCCGTGGATGGGGGAGTGAACAGCCTCTCAAGGGGGGCGCTCTGCCCAAGGGATTGTGGGTAAGTGCCAGTTGCACAAGGCGTCAGAGGAGGTAACGGGGAAGCAGGGTGTGACTGGCCAGGAGGGCAGGGATTTCCTTACAAGGCCGGCCGAACGTGTTTTCTAGGAAGGAAGCTGGCTAACACTGAATTACAGGATTCTGACTGGTGTTAGGTGTCCTCGACAGCGAGGTATTTCTGTACGTGCAGCTGCCTTATGCTTAGATCTGTGACATGGGCCAGGCCACTGGAGAGGCCTCCCTCTTTTGGGTCCCGATACACAAATCAACTTTATTGTCCTCAAACACAATTCAAATCCTTGTGTTTCCATGGCTTCGTTCGTACCGCTCCCTCCTTCACAAATTCCTCCTCCTCTGCCTCCCTTTCCCTATTTCTCAAAACCTTACCCATCCCCCAAAAGGCCCAGTTCAAATGCCTCCTCCAAGCCACTGGCCACCCCAGCTGAGGAGACCTTGTGATCCTCCCAAGCCCCAGCTCACCTAGGTGTGTCTCATCTGCTGTGCTCTATGTTTTTCTCTCTCTTCTCTCTACTACTTAAAGAGAAATTACTGGAAGGCAAAGACTTTGATATCTTAGCCATTCATTCCTTGGAAGCAACCTCTGCAGTGACCTTCACATACATATTAGTAATTTAGCAAAAATTTTCTAAATGCATATAAAAAAATATATATATACACACACACATAATGAATGTATGTCTTAACACTGTATCCCTGCAATCTTTCCCTTATTTCCTCTTGCAGGCCAGAACAGCTATGACCGCAGCTGGGACACGACGCTGGTGATAAAACCTTGAATATTTAAAAGGAGACTGAGAGAGGAGGAGAATGATGAATGAGCTCAGAAAGACACGATGGCTTCTGCAATGGCACTAATAAATGGAATGTAGACTCCAACTCCAGAATTTGAAATGGAAACTTAACTACAAGTGAACAAACAAGAAAAATGAATGTATGTGTGTTGGTAGGGGGTAGTATGTGCAATAAATGAAAAGATAAAAATCTATATGCTGCTGATGGGACAGAAATGTAGGTATTTTACATTAGGATTGTTCTGCTTTTCTTTTTTTTGCCTCACCCACGCCCTTCTCTAAAAATTTAATGAGAAATCAGTCTCCATGTATTTTACAGTCTGGGAGTCCTTGGATAAGACAAAGAGCTTGACATTGCAGGTGGTCCCCCGGCAGTCAGGGACCTAAACCAGGGCCTTTCCAGTGAACTGGCAGGTTGGGTGCAGCTGCGGGAACAGGGTGAAGGAATGCAGTGAAATACAGAGACAAGAAAACCATTTTCCCACTAAAGCACATGTGTTAAAAATGTGTTTGTCATGCTTCTGGTTCCTGGCTTCTTAGAAGATGGCAGGTGAGAGACACTCTGTTCTATCAGTCAGATATGCAAAAATACAGTTAGCAATTCTAAAGATAGTTTAAAAAATGCCATCAGATTAGCAGGAGCTGAGTGAATGATGTGAGTCCCAGGAGGCATTTTCGACCAACTTAAAGAGCTTGACATTGCAGGTGGTCCCCCGGCAGTCAGGGACCTAAACCAGGGCCTTTCCAGTGAACTGGCAGGTTGGGTGCAGCTGCGGGAACAGGGTGAAGGAATGCAGTGAAATACAGAGACAAGAAAACCATTTTCCCACTAAAGCACATGTGTTAAAAATGTGTTTGTCATGCTTCTGGTTCCTGGCTTCTTAGAAGATGGCAGGTGAGAGACACTCTGTTCTATCAGTCAGATATGCAAAAATACAGTTAGCAATTCTAAAGATAGTTTAAAAAATGCCATCAGATTAGCAGGAGCTGAGTGAATGATGTGAGTCCCAGGAGGCATTTTCGACCAACTTGTTTTAAGATTGAGCTTTAACAAGTTGTTAAGATGGAAAGGGGTAAAGTGAAAAATTTGCCTGGTGTCCAAAAGATCAGAGTCAGTTATTGAAACACGCTGGCATGAGTTGTGGTGCAGTATTGCTAAGGGGGTGAAAAGTGGGGCGGGCGGGGTTGTGTGAGCAGCGCTTCCTGGGTTCAGGAAATTGTTTAGGTAAAGGTCCCCTAGGGCAACATGCTGAGTGCCCTGGCTTAAGCTCTAGGCACGAACCAGTTGCTTTTCTGTCTCCTGGTTATCAACCGTTCATTGGCTCAACAAAGATGTATTGATGGCCTAGTAAGTGACAGACACTGTCACAGACAGCTGTGAATATACCAGGAGAAAAGCTGCCCTCCGGGAACTTATATTCTAAACAGTCAAGAATATAAGAATGTATTCTTATATCCTAAATATTCTAAAGACAGTCTTTAGACAGATTGCCAGTTAAAGGTAGACAATAAAAAATATAAAGAAAAATATTCATAGTATGTCATGGTGATATATAGTTTGGAGAAAATAATACAGGTAAGGGAGATTAGAGGAATTAAGGGGTACAGTTTTATTTTATTTTATTAAATTTTATTTATTTATTTATTAAGGTATCATTGCTATACAATCTTATGCTCAAATTTCACATGAGCAACATTGTGGCTACTACATTCCCACTATTATCAAGTCTCCCCCACATACCCCATTAGAGTCACTGTCCATCAGCAGAGTAAGATGCTATAGAATCACTACTTGTCTTCTTTGTGCTATACTGCCTTCCCCATGCCCCCCCCATATTATTTGTGCTCATCATAATGCCCCTTAATCCCCTTATCCCTTCCTCCCCACCCACCCTCCCCAGCCCCTTTCCCTTTGGTAACTGTTAGTTCATTCTGGGGTTCTGTGAGTCTGCTGCTGTTTTGTTCCTTCAGTTTTTGCTTTGTTGTTATACTCCACAGATGAGTGAAATCATTTGGTACTTGTCTTTCTCTGCCTGGCTTATTTCACTGAGCATAATACCCATTAACTCTGTCCATGTTGTTGCAAATGGTAGGATTTGTTTTCTTCTTATGGCTGAATAATATTCCATTGTGTATATGTACCACATCTTCTTTATCCATTCATCTACTGATGGACACTTAGGTTGCTTCCATATCTTGGCTATTGTAAATAGTGCTGAAATAAACATAGGGGTGCATATGTCTTTTTGAATCTGTGATCCTGTTTTCTTAGGGTAGGAGTACAATTTTAAATAAGGTGACCAGAAAAGGGCTCACTGAAATGATGATTTTTGAGTAAAAGCCTGGAAAAGTGAAAGAGCACATAGATTTTTAGGGGAAGAACATTACAAGAAGGGGAAACAGCCAGTGCAAATGCCCTGAGTCAGGACACACCTGGCAGATTTTACCAAGGAGAAGGATGTGGCTGGAACAGTGAGGTTGGAGGGGAGTGTTCAGAGATGAGGTCAGAGAGGTCATGGGGGACAAATCACGTAGGGTCACCTATAAGGACTTTGGCTGTGAATGAGATGCCTTTGGGCAGACTGAGTTACCGTGTAATGACTTATGAAAAGTAGCATATCTTTCTTTACTCCCTTTTCAGGAGACTCCAGAGTCCTGCAAACACTGCTTCACACCCTTCACCTAGAGGCATCTTCTGGACTTCAGGCCAAGAGGCTGATACTACACTCTAAGGAAAATTGACTGCATTTCAAGTAATAGCTTACTTGGGTACAGGTCTGAGCACCTCAGCAATAGAGCTGGGGGCTTTTATGCCAAGGATCTTCAGGGCATATGAAGGCAAATACTTTCCATGTATTTTCCCATGATTTCCTAAGAAACAGAGATCTGCTGGAATAGTCCATGGTGGAAAATGAAGCACAGGTATTGTTTTTTTTAATCAATATATTGATTGATCTATTAAGTGACAACAGCGGTTAATTTTACATCAGCTTGACTGGGCTAAGGGATGCCACATTGCTTGCAAAATTCTATTCCTGTGTGTCTGTGAGGGTGTTTCCAGAAGAGATTAGCAATTGAATTGGTAGACACAGTAAAGAAGATTGCCTTCACCAGTGTGGGTGGGCATCATCCATTCCAGTGAGGGTCTGAATAAAACAAAAAAGCTGAAGAATGGGCAAATTTGCTCACTTTACTTGAGCTTGGCCAACTCTCTTCTGTCCTCAGACATCTATTCTCCTGGCCTTTGGACTTAGACCAGGACTTACACTACCACCTCCCCTGGTTCTCAGACCTTTGGACTTGGATTGAATTATGCTAAGACCTTTCCTTCTCCTGCTTGAGATGGCAGATTGTGGGATTTGTCCTTCACAATTGCATGAGCCAATTCCTATAACACATTTCCTTTGAAATATACCAATACATACCCTATTTTTTCTGTTTCTCTCGAGAAAAAATTAATACAGTGATCATTGTTTGAGGCTCTTATACCTCCATTTTAGTGGCCCATTTGTGTAATGTTGTCTCCCACTGTCTGTTGATGTCACTTCTCACCACTTAACCTTTGAAGTCCCATGGTCAAGCCACCATCACCTCCTTTTTTAAAAAAGAGCTTTGTTGGGGTATAATGCACATACTATAAATTCATCTATTAAAAGTATACATTCAGTAATTTCTAAGAAATGTACAGAATGTACAGAATTAGCACAGTTTTAGAATATCTCCATCACCCCAAAACATTTCTTTGTGCCTATTTGCAGTCAGTTCTGTTCCCACTTTCAATCCCAGGCAACTACTGCTCTGTTTTCTGTGTCTATAGATTTGCCTTTTCTGGGTATTTCATTTAAATCAGTACATAGTGTTTCATGTGTGGCTTCTTTCACTGAGCATGACACTTCTGAGGCTGGGCTATGCTGCAGCGTGAGTTGGTAGTTGGCTCCTTCTCATTGCTGATAGGATTTCACTGCACGGACATAACACATTGGTCTATCCTTTCACTAGTCAGTGGACATTTGGATTGTTCCCAATTTGGGGCTATTATGAACCTTAATGTATAAAGTTGTGAACCTTAATATATAAGTCTTTCTATGCATATATGTTGGAATTTCTCTTATGTAGATATCTAGATGTGGAATTGCTGGATTGTAAGTGTATATTTATAGGAAGCCATCAAACTGTTTTCCAAAGTGGCTGTGCTGTTCTCCATTCCCACAGGTATGAGGATTCTTATTTCTCCACATTTTCAACACCACTTATTGTCTGTCTTTTTTTTTCTAGCCATTGTAGTGGGGGTGGTAGTACCTCATTGTGGTTTTAAATTACATCTCCCTAATGATTTAATGATGTTGAGCATCTTTTCATGCGTGTATTATCTCTTCCTATATTTTCTTTAGTGAAAATGTCTTTTCAAGTCTTTTGGCCATTTATTTTTAAATTGGATTGTCTTCTTGTTCTTGAGTTATATGAGTTATTTATATAGTCTGGATATGAGTCCTTTATCAAAAGATAATAATTTATGAAACTTTCCTCCCAATTTGTGCCTTGCCTTTTCATTTTCTTGATCATACCTTTTAGAAGAGCAAAAGTTTTGATTTTGATAAAGCCCAATTATCAATGTTTTCTTTCATACATCATGCTTTTTCTGTCTTGTACCAGAAATCTATGCCTAATCCAATGTCCCTAAATTTTTTTATGTTTTCTTCTAAAAGTTTTTAATTACACTTCTACATTGTCTGTGATCCATTCTGAGTTAATTTTTGTGTATGGTAGAAAGTTATTGTCTATGTACTTTTTATTTTTATATATTTTTTGCATATGAATACCAACTGTCTCAGCACTATTATTTGGAAAGTCTGTCCTCTCCCCCACTGAACTGCCTTGACACATTTGTCAAAACTCATTTGACCATAAATGTAAGAGCTTACATCTGGACTCTCATTTCTGTTTCATTGATCTATGTGATTATCCTACGCCAATACCACATTGTCTTGATTACTGTAGCTTTATGGCAAATTTGAAATTGGGTAATATAAGGATTCTTCTTTTTCAAGATTGTTTCAGCTATTCTATGTTTTTTGCATTTTCTTACGCATTTTAGAATAAACTTGTCAATTTCTACAGAACAGCCTGATGGCAATTTTATAGAGATTGAATTAAATCTATAGATCATTCTGGAGAAAATTGTCATCATAACAATATTGAGTCATTCATGAACATGGAATATTCTCCATTTATTCAGTGGTGTTTTGCAGTTTTTATGTATAAGTCCAACCTTACACATTTTTGTTAAATTGATTCCTAAATATTTTATTATTTTTGATGCTACTGTGAATAGAATTCATTTTTTAATCCCGTTTTTGGATCATTCCTTGCTAATATATAGAAATACAATTGATTTTTGTACATTGATCCTGTATGCTGTTTATTCCTTGCTAAACTTGTTTATTAGTTCTAATAGATGTTTTTACATGTGGATTTCTTAGGATTTTCTACATACAAGATCATGTTGTTAGTAAATAAAAGTAGTTTTACTTTTTCCGTTCCAATTGGTATGCCTTTAATTTTTTTTCTTAACTTAATAAACTAATTGGAATTTCAGTACAATGTTGAATAGAAGGAGTAAGAGTGAATGTTCTTCCCTTATTCCCAATGTTAGTGGGAAAACATTCAGTCTTTCATTATACCATATGATACTAGTTACGCATTAGTTGTAGATTACTTTTATCAGGTTAAAGAACTTCCCTTGTATTCCTAGCTTGTTGATAGTTTTTAATCATGAGTGGTTGCTGGTTTTTGTTAAATGCTTTTTCTGTGTCTATTAAGATAATCATATGGGGTTTATCTTTCATTCTATTAATATTGTGCATGCATTAATTGAATTTTGAGCACTAAACCAGCCTTATATAACTCTTCAACAACACTTACTGCCTTTCTTTTTTATTATAGCCATTCTAGTAGGGAGTAGTAGTACATCATTTTAGTTTTAAATTATATCTCTCTAATGATTTAATGATGTTGAACATCTTTTCATGTGCTTATTATCTCTTGGTGTGGCATGTAATTCTTTCTATATATTTTTGGATTCAGTTTGTTAAAATTTTAAGGACTTTTGCATATATTTTCATGGGAGATAGTGATCTATAGTTTTCTTGAGAAATCTTTGTCTAACTTTTGTATCAGGGCTCTACTGGGCTCACAGCATGTGTTTGGAAGTGTTTCCTTATCCTTTATTTTTGGTAAGTAAAGAATTAGAATTCTTCTTTTCTAAATATTTGGTAGAATTTACCAGTGAATCTGTCTGGGACTGAATTTTTTGCTAGATAATTTCTATCAATTATTGAGAGTGGATATTAAAAATCTCCACTCACTGTGGGAAGATTTTAAATTACTAACTCAAATTCCTTATTTATTTTTATTTTATTTTTATTTTATTTTTTATTTTTTTTTAGGAGAGCAAGGTACAGGCTTTTATTTAGAGATAAAGTGAAAGGACAGAGCTCCTGGCTCATGCCAGGAGGGGACAAGAGAGTCCCAAATTCCTTATTTATTAATGGTCTATTCAGATTTTCTGTTTCTTCTTGAGTCAGTTTCAGTAGTTTGTCTCTTTCTACAAATATGTCTATTTCTCATAAGTTGTCTAATATGATACAAAGTAGTCCATAATATTCACTTATAATTCTTAATTTTTGTAAGGATGTTAAGAATTGCCCCTTTTTTACTGATTTTGATAATTTGTGTCTTCCTTTTTCAATTTTCTGGTCAGTCTAGCCAAAGATTTATCAATTGTGTTGATCTTTTCAAGCGACTGACTTTGATTTTTCTCTATTGTTTTCTGTTTTCTATTCTAATCGTTATTATTTCCTTTCTTTTGCTTGTTTTGGATTTATCAGCTTCTCTATTTCTATTTTCTTATGGTAGATGTTTAAATTATTGATTTAAGATTTTTCTTCTGTTCTAAGGTAGGTATTTATAGCTATATATTTCCCTCTAATCACTACTTTGGCTGTAACCCATAAATTTTGATATGTTGAATTTTCCTTTCATTCAACCCAAAATATTTTAAAACTTCCCTCTGGTGTTTTTCTTTGACAAATAGATTATTTAGAGTGTTTTGTTTAATTTCCAAGTATTTGGTAATTCCAAATTTCCTTCTGTTGTTGTCTAATTTAACTAATTATAGTTAGAGAATATGCTTTGTATGATTTTAAACCTTTTAAATTAACTAAAACTTGTTTTGTGACCTAATATATGGTCTCTTCTGGAAAATGTTCCATGTATTTGAAAAGAATGCCTATTCTTCTCTCATTGGATGAAATGTTTTATAAATATCAGTGAGGTCAAGTGTTATTTAAGTTTTCTGTATGCTTGCTGATTTTCTGTCTAGTTTTTCTATCAATTATTGTGAGTGGAGTATTAAAATCTCCAACTGTCATGTCCGAGCACTACTATCGCCTCTTGTTTAGGCTATTATAAGGGCTTAGCACTCTGCTTTATTTACCTCCACAGGACTTATCCTTATCTGACTCAGTATATATTTTACTTACACACTAGAATATACAGCTCCCATGATGGCAGGGATTTCTGCCACTTTTCATCACTGCAATATGCCTAGCATGTAACAGTGCCTGACACATATCGGTCACTCACAAATATTTGTTGCATGGATAAATGTATCACCAAACAGATGGCACTCACTATTTTCTTGGGTGAGTACAAAACTCTTCATTCCCACCACGTGGTGATCTGAAAAGAGTTAAGACCTTTGGAATACTGAGATGGATTAAAGGCAAAAGGTGGGAAATATAAGGGGTACCTATGCGTTGGGCCATATGCAGAAACTATCCCTTTTCCTTCATGTTTTCCTTTTGAGTTTATCTCTCCTTGCATTTCATAGTCATCAAAGCAGTAGACACCTGAGGACCAAGACTGGATGTAGGTGTTAAGGAACAAGGCCATTGTTCTTGATTTTGATCCAGGCTATTTGGGTGCCTTCTCCAGGCAAAGGAATCCCTCTGGCATCTGGTGGCCTGTGTAGTTCAGTGGGGGTTAATTCCCAAGCAGAGAGGGTAAGGAGGGGCTAAAACTTCAAAGTAATAAGCAGAGCGGTTTTCCCTTCCATATATATATATATATATACTTTTCTCTCCTGACCTTTGGGAGGTAGCCTTAGTTGGCTGGTCCAAGATTGGGTGTTTATGATCCCTACTACATATAATTCTCTTAGCAGGACTGACACTGTCTACTCAGGAGTATATCCTGAGGTAGCTTTGAAATGTTATGTTTATCCTGGTTTGGAAGGCTGTTTTATACAACATCAGGGAAAAAAAGCCAGCATGTGCTGTTTGTTCAGTGCTTGGCATATTATATCAAGATATTTTACATGTATTTAGCAATTATATGTTTTATATATCTATATGCTTAATCAGTTAAAAATAAAATATTAACTGATATTTTTCTTTTACTCATTAAAGTTAGGCCTAAGTTTTGTAAACTGTTCTTATAGGGTCTTTAAAATCAGCTGGAGCTCATAGGAGAGGTCTGGACTGAAGACAAGAATTTGGGCACCATATATGAATATAAAAATGTAATAATTAAAGGTGTTAGGATCGATCTGATCCTCTAACGAGTGAGAAAGGGAGAGAACCTAGGATGAAACCTTGAGAATTTAACTTTTAGTATTCGGTTAGAGGATGATAAGCCAGAAAAGGCAGGGAAGGCACGTTTGGAGAGGCCGGAGGGCCTTGTACCCCGGCAGGTGTGTGTACACTTCCTGAAAACATGCAGTTCCCGTGGCACATCTTGCTTTGGAGGCGTCTGACTCCTAGTAAATTGCCTGTCATTTAATTACAAATTTTCATTAAGTGGATTATCCTGAAATTGTTCTTGACCCTGGATAAATAGTTCTCAGTCAGAGGTACCTAGAACCCTGGGTGATGGAGAGTCTTGTTTACTAAGATGCTGCATTTTCATCAAAATTATTTTATTCCAATTCTGTGTCCCCTTTTAAGAGTGATGTATCCTTTTCTAATAACCCTATTATCCTTCCACATCTTTTTGGCATTCTAGTAACAATCTGAATATTTGATGTCAGTAAAACATACCAAACATTGTACAAATAAAGTTGAATTATTATTGCAGCTTCCCTGGAAATGAAATTATTTCTTGTTTTTGTGTTTAATGTTTGTGGCAGTAAAATCCCCAATGAATTTTTACTTTATTACTTTAGAGTCAGTAACAAATTTATTTGTAAAAGTACTATTTTATTTGGTTCACCCACTCATTCATCTATCCAATATATATTAAGTGTCTATTATTTTCCAGACACTGGGAGTGTTAGGACAACAGGAATGGTTCTCAAGCTTCAGTGTGCATTGGAACCACCTGGAAAACTTATTAAATATACATGTGCTCCAGTGCCACCCCTCATATTCAGTAGGTCCCAGGTAGTGCCCAAGAATCTATGTTTAGTAAGCTCTCTATGTGATTCTGTTGCACAAAAAGTTTTAGAACTATTGGTCTTTGTAAAAACATTCATTGAAAAACTTAAATGTAATACAATATAAGAGGTGTCAGATAGACGCACATACAGGGTAGGGTGTATATTAAATTTTACCATATTCATATCTTACCATAACAGTAGAGTGTATACTCAATAATATCATTGTAATTTTCAACTGTAATGGAATTTTTTGGTAGGGCTTTACAGCACTAGCGGTATGATTTATTTTCATTAATATTGCAGAAATGTTTAATGTCCTTATGAATGATCATAAAGGTAAGAGAATACTGTAAACACACAAATATCATTATATTCATGCATATAACTCTCTTTAATGGGAATGGGGAAAGCATCTGGCAGTTCTCATTTAAATACTAGGGAGCCTATTCTGTGTTCATTATAGGACTGTCCTCTCGTAATTGAAAATGTTCTTTCCTTTTCTTTTTTTTCCTTTTTCTGCTTGGGTCCTTTTCCAGCCTGTTGATTCAACAGTTTCAAACACTGAAAGATATTTACAGAAGTTTCTGCTAAAACTGTAGCAATGACACAAAGTACAAAACTCTTGAGTCTTACATTGGGGAAAACAGCTTTCTTTTAAAGACTAATTCGTCTTTTCTTTTTAAAAAGAGGTGCTTATTCACCGTGCTGTTCACAAGGAAACTTAGGTTGGAAGGAGCAGATCAGCTCCATTTTTATTGTAAGAAAGCTGCAATATTCTTTGATTATAGGACTTAATAGGGAGAGATGTTGATTAAAAGCAACTATTTAACAAATCTAATTTAAAAATTGAGTGAAAATAACACAATTTGAAAAAAACTCAAGAATTTTTTCAAAATGTTGCTTCAAAATGTTTCTCAGTCTCTTGAATTTGTTTCAAGAAGTGCATTTGCCGATCACCAAGATTCCTGACTTTCTCTCCTTCCGGGGCACACAGGTAAGGTGTACTTCCCAACCCCCTTTGCATCATCAAGGGTTCATCTGACTAAGTTCTGGCCAATGGAATGTGACTGGAAGTGATGTGATAGACACCTCTTCCAGGCTCGGCCCATGAAAATCTCCCACTGTGGTTCTCCATGCACCTTCTCTGTCTGCTGGACGATAACACTCAGGCAACCTTGAAGGCTGCAAGCTGAAAACTGTGGGGACTCTGTCAGCCTAGATGCTTGAGTAACTGTACAGGGCAGAGGCACCCCACCCCCATCCTCTCCATCCCAATGCCAGTGGCCTTAGCTTGAGAGAGAAACAAACTTTCACTCTGCTAAGCCTCCAAAGTGTTGGATTTGGTTTGTAACTGCAGTTAGCTTGCTTTAACCAATACAGGATGTAAGGATATAGGCAAGTCTGTACCATGAGACTGTGCACTGGCCTACTATTTCTGGAGCCAAAGTCCTGTAATTCTCCTGCCAAGGCTGCCTTCAACACAATCCGCCACTGAGAAAATTCTCCAGAAAAGACTCCTCTGCTCCAGAGGTGCAGTACTTAGGCTGTCAGGAGTATTCTAGTCTTGCAAGGGTAATTCAAAAGCCCCCATTCCTCTTAGCTTATGGGACATAGTCCTAGAAGCACACAGAATATAAAACACTCAGAAATTCTAACCCCAAAATTGAGAGAGAACAAAATTAGATACAAGGAAACCAGAAGCATAGCCACAATGGAGAGGACATGCAGTGGAGACAGGATCGGAACACAGTACCACCTCTAAGCCTTAATTGTACATGCTATTAACTGGTGGGTGCTGTCATTAAATTTTCAAGAAAATCCTCCTAAAATAAAAAAATATTTTACTGTGTGGAAGTCAGATAGCAGATTTCACAGTGTCCAAAGTCATAGTCCTTATCACTTATGAAGAGACATGTTTGCCTTCCCTTTCAAGATGACAACTGAGCCCCTCCAAAATGTCTCCTCCCTCCCATGGAAGTCAGCCTCTCACACGCCAGCGCCCTACCCTCTGAGCGATCACTCTCAACTGGGGAGCTGTTTTGGTATTGCCCACTCCAAATGCAATCTCCGTGGATATAGAAACCATTTAAGAATTTGCAAACTGACCTCATTTTTAATTTCAGTTTTTTAAAATATTCCTCTGTTAAGAAGAGGCAACAGGCCCAAAATGGAGTCATTTATGCCAAGTCCCATGTCACCATACTGAGACTTAAAACCCAGCTTAATTACAGTTCCAGTCTCTTCCAGGAATGGAACCTTAAGCAGTCAGTCCCGGACTGCCTGGTCCTCACTAGTGAGGTGCTCCGCGTGGTGGAGACTTGCCCTCAGGGAAGGTGACCTTGCCGCAACCAGTTTGCTTTTTGCCAGTCTAACTTCCTTCTCCTTCTCCCTGCTGCCTGTCCTCTACTTTGTACAGCTCCTCAGAGCTCCTTTCTATCCACTAGATGGGATGCTGCCTGACTCATGAATCACTGAATAAGGCCAATAAGATCTTTAAATATACTCCATTGAATTTTGTTTTTTAACACCTTCAAGCATTAAAAACCCTTCAGCCATTATAGATGCCTCTGTCTGCTTCCTAGTCCATTACATAAAATAGCTACCATCCAAGCAGCAGTTATTCTGTTCCAGGCAGGGTGCATGGTCTTGGCATACATTATCTTATTTAATCTTCATGAGATAGTTACTATTGTCCCATTGTGCAGATGGAAAAACTGAGGCACCAAAGGTTAAGCAACTTGAACAAGTTCATACAGCTAGTAAGGAGCAAAACCAGCATTCAACTGAGCACTCTGAATGCCCAAACCTCCACTCTTGACCACCGTACTATACTGCCTCTACTTCCACTCGGCAAATTTTTGTTCATGGAAGACACCTCTTGGGAGAGTAGCTAGTGCTTCAGAAGGATCAATAAATTCCTGTCGGTCAGAGCTTCATAGCTTTACCTGTTTTCATTCTGGCACTTTTGGAATTTGGAAACCTCTCACCGTGGTCCTAGTGTCCATCCACAGAGGTACCTCCCTTCTGTAAATCTTGGCAGCTGTCTGGCATGGTGAAATCTCGGGGCTGTTGCCACAATCTTCTAGAAAATAGGAGCTTCTCAGCTCCAGAACATTCTTAACGCTCGGGAGAAGAGCTGTGCTGCGGGCCAGTCTGTCGGAGTGTCTATATTTAGCACCATCTGCCAGGAATATTCCAAACTGCCTATTTCAGCACATGCCATTTTGTGCAAACGGGACTGCTCCACCACTAGCTCGTGGGAGACCAAGGGCACAAAGTGGATTTTCCGGTTTTGATGTCATTAAATGTTGCAAGTTGGCCCTTCGGCCAACCTGCAGATGAGATATGGGAGAGGATCGAGGCTGGCTTTTCCCAGGGCGTCTGTCCCTGAGTCCCACACTTCTAGTGGCTCAATAGCAATCCAGGGTGTTCTGGTGGAGAAAAGGGACATCCCGAGCCTGCACTCCCACACAACATTTCTGAGGCACTGGGGTGGCCCTGCCCGTTTCACGGCTCCCTTCTTCCACCCCACAAATCCCTGTACAGACTCCTGCAGCCTTAACCACCCCCACCACACCCCATATAGCCTTGACCTGTCTCAGTGAAAGACCAGGGCCCCCATGTACTGAGGGCTTTCCCTGTACCCATTTTCAGTTCTGCCTTCTACATGCACCAGTTCATTGAATCCTCCGAAGGAGGCACTATTCTTAGTTCCACTTTACAACTAAGGAAACATGCTTACAGAGGCCCAGGGACTTGCCGCGTCAAAATTCAAGCCAAATCTCATGATCTTACCCACTGACAGCATACTGACCCATTCTATACACACCCAGCCAATCTCCCTGTTTTCTTCCCCTCACTCCGGACTCTGTGTTTTTTGCATGTTCAGGCACACCAGGAGATGTTGCTGATTTGGTTCCACACTACCACAGTAAAGCAAATACTGCAATAAAGTGAGTCAAATGAATTTTTTGGTTTCCCAGTGCATAAAAAAAGGTATACACTATACTGTAGTTTATTGAACGTACAATAGCATTAGCATCTATAAAATAATGTACGCACCTTAATTGAAAAATACTTTATTGCTAAAAAATGCTAACCCTGCTCTGTGCTTTCAGTGAGTCGTAATCACTGGTCACAGATCACCATGACAAATATACTAATAATGAAAAGCTTGAAATACTGTGAGAATGACCAAAATGTGACACAGAGACACAAAATAAGCAGATAGTGTTGGAAAAGTGGCACCAATAGACTGGCTCGATGCAGGGTTGCCACAGACTTTCAATTTGTGAAAAATGTAATATCTGCAAAGCACAAAAAAAACAAGGTGCACCTGTGTTTCCATCTCCAGCTTATTTTCCAGACTCAGTGCTTAACTGCATCTGAGGGGTTCTTGACCATGGGTTCATCATCCACCCCACTGGGACTATGTTGACTCCCCTAAATCCTCCTCCCAGACTGGGCCCAGCAACAGCCCAGAGAGGGAGTGGGGCCCCTGGGTTTTTCTCTGCCCGAGTAAGAACTGGTTGGTGGAAGCAATTGAGCAGCCTCATGAAAGTTTGCCCCAAATACAGTGGTGAGTTTGACTAGGGCTGTACAGAATATGGCTTTATAGGTGACAAGGGCTGCTGGGAAAGGAACTGCCACCAGGGACTGGCATGGATCTGGAGCTGAGAGACTGAGAAGCTGAGAAGGAGAAGTTGATTAATCCAGCTATTCTGGGTGACACTAATCTTTGGAGTGGCTGAATCTAGGCAAATTCTGAATTGTGGTAACAGTAAAACCTCAACATCTACATGTACAATTTCTAAGCACAATTCCTGGGGATGATCAATTTTCATTAACTCACCTTAGGACGGTGGTTAAAAGAGATGGCTACATGCTTGCTGTGGTTTAGTAGATTGGTAACTGGGTGCTTGGGGAGCAGAGGGACTGACAGATGTGAGCGGCACAGAATAAAGGTTAGAAATCAGATCTGTTACTAGATAACTCCATAACCCATCTACTTCAATGATTTATTCCTACACAACAAGCCATCCTTAAACGTAGTGGCTTAAAACAAGAATAATCACTTTTTTACTCTCTCCCATGGATTTGGGAGGCTGACCAACCAGATGGTTCAGACAATAGTTGGGGCTGGAGTCGCCTCAAAGGCTTCCTTGCATATCCAGAAGTTGGTGCCGACTGTCAGCCGGGACCTTACTGTCTGCCAAGACATCTACACGTGGACTTTCCAGGTGACTTGAGCTCCCCCACAGGAAGCTTGGACTCTTGGCTCTCCACTGCCATGCCAGCCTGCTGGCACTCAAACCCCGACTGCCCTACCTTGCCCAATTTCTTCCAAATCCTAGCTCTTCCTCTAGTCCAGTATAACTGGTATGGGAGATGGTACTTCAAAGATGGTCACCACTAGACATATCTCATCTCACAAGCCCCTCATACTAACCACTCCTCCCTCTGAGGAGTGTGTCAATGTTGTCTCCTCTTGAATCTAGGCTGGTCTGTGATACGGTGGGACTATGCTGTGACACTCTGTGACCTCTAGGGCTAGGTCACAAAAGGTCATACAGTGTTTCCCTCATTTTCTTGGGTCAGAAATATAGTCTTCCTCTTTTTTAAATGTAAATGACCATGTTTCCATTTGGGACAGAACTGACTGAATACAAATCTCAGAAAATGTTTCTTGACATGAATGTAGAAGCATTTGGCCACCCTCAGGGTACCTTCCCACCGCTTAGCACAGCCAGTCTGGTCTTTGTCAGGACATCTTTCTTTTCAGAGAGTAACTATGACAACAGAGCATGAAGCTATGGGTCTGCAGCAGCCCTGTATTTACATACAACATGTGATGCTATAAGAACACAGAATTATGAATCAGGGTAGCATTGGCCTCTCCTTTGGTAGTGAGCAAGTTATCTGCTATTTGATTCAATTGATTTTATTAATTGGTTTTGGTTTTATTATGACTCTCTCTTAACAAGATGATTAATGTTCTGTAATCTATAGCATCATTTTCCAAACTTACTTAAACAAAATCCCTGTATTAGTTTCCTATTGCTGCTATAACAAATTACCCCCAAACTTAAGGGTTTGAACAGCCCAAATATATTATTTTACAGTCTTTAGATGAGAAGTCTGGTGTAGGTCTCACCAGGCTAAAACTGAGCTGTCAGCAGGGCTGTGTTCCTTCCTTGAGTTTCAAGGGGAGGAGCCACTTCCTTGGTCATTCTGGTTTTTGGCAGAATCGAGTTCCTTGTGTTACAGGACTAAGGTCCCCACTGCATGCCGGCTGAGAGACATTCCCAGCTTCCAGAGGCTGCCCGCCTTCCTCGGCTCAGGGCCGCTTGCTCTATCTGCAGAGCCAGTCTGGGTGGGTCAAATCCCTTTCATGCTCTGACTCTCTCCTTCTTCCTCTGTCTCATCGCTCTCTAGCCACAACTTGGGCAGATTTTCAACTATTAAGGGCTCATGTGATTATCCAAGATAATCTCTCATCTCAAGGTCCATGCGCTCAGTCAAATGGGAAGAGTGCCCACTTATTATGTAAGACAACACAGTCCAGAGCTTAGGATGCGGACATCTTTGGGAGAGACATTATTCTGCCTCCCACAACCTTCATCCCCAGCCCCCACTAAACTAGAGTTTAATGGAATGGAGTTTAGGCAGCACTGCTCTAACGGTATCAAAAGGGCTGAATTTTAAACAGGAAAGAAACTCACTCTTCAGGAGCAATGACAACACCCAAAGCAATGGGTGAGCACAAGACGAGGGACAGGTTGGACCCACCCCGTGGCTGGGGTGGGGGTGCAGAGGAATAAGAGTTCAGTGATGGACCATCTTGTCTAGCCAGAGTATGAATCGGGTAGATTTCCTATTGGACTGGTTTGTCAAGAACTTGTATTTTGAATGCCTGAGGGAGAAGGGACAGTCATCACACCAGGTGCTTTCCATAATCCATAATGGTGACCTGTGAAGGTGGACCCGGTATTTGAACCTGTGTGAGGTGGATTTATTTGGGGTCCCCTCATGTCCCCTTAATTGGGCTGGTGTACCCGTGCCACAGAGGCAGAAAACCAGCATCTCGATTCCCTTTCTCTAGAAATTACCTTTACAGATAATGTAAGCTCAGCTTCACATTATGCCCCTGGCCACTCTGTCCCCCAACACACACACACACACACACACACACACTCTCCCATCCCACAGGCTTCAGAGGTCCTCTATGGATCCAATCTGGACTTTTTCTAAGATCACGTATTTGCTCTACTCTTCCCTTCACTTTTCTGTTTCCCTTTCTCCTGTACAAGTTTTCCTGATTAGTAAATTATGTGTATCCAAAACCCTGCCTCAGGCTCTGCTTCCAAAGAACCCAACCTAAGACGTGAGAAAGTGAATTCATTGATCAGGATGTACAAAATGGAGGCCTCCCCAGTGGTCTGGCCCATGCCCCTAATCTAAGCCTGCGTGAGCCTGCGCTATGGAAGCACCTCACTGTCAAGGACACCTGACACCAACTTTCCCCAACTTTCTCTAATTCAGCATTCAGCTTGCCTTACCCTAGAAAACAGGACCTGCCTGCCTTACCAGAAATCCCCTGCTGTCTGGGCAATCATGACCTGCTTCCAGACTGTCTCTTCTATCACTCTATAAAACTCCCTCTTGCCCAAATCCCTTGGACAGAGAGCTCCACCGCTTCTGACACACTGTCACAAGCCTGTAACCCCCAACTGCAGCTCCCTATTTCCAAAGTCCTTGCTTTTTGCAGATTCCTGGCCTAGAGTCACACAGTACCAAGAAAATACCTGGAGGAAATGTCCCTGAGGCACACGGTACCTGCCTCCTTCTAGGTACGTAGTTGCATAAATCAAAGGAAGCTGGATTGTTTATTTGGGGGTGGGAGTTCTGTGCCTGATTCTAAAAGACTTAGTCTGTAGGAAAGGACAAGAGGTGAGAATTAAAGTCCAAATACAATGGTCCATTCCAGTGTCAGCTCCTTGGGGACAGGGACGGTGTCCATCGTGATCACACACAGTGGCTGACCCACAACGGATCTGCAACTTGGTGAGAAGGTGAATGAAACAGAGAAGCAACAGGAGGTGAGAGCTCTGTGGGTAAGTGGAAGAAAGTTGGGGAAAGATGGTCTGTGCCAGGTAAGACATGTTCCTTTGCAAGCTGCTTTGTTGCTCTTCAAGCTCATCTATGATGACCGTACTTTTCCTGGAACCTACTCACAGTGCCCAGGGATCTGTGGACTCAGGCTCTCATTTGGAAAAGTGACATTCCAGAGTACCCTTCCTCCTACATGCAGGATGGAGATCCAGCAGCCCGCGCCTAAACCTGGAACGTGCTCTGCTTCGAAAAGACCTACTGGACCTCAAGGTTAGACATGAATTATTTGTATTAATATATTATTTCAATTTGTACAATAAAAAACAGGTATAACTCATTTTATTTCAGTGCTCACATAAGACTAAAGCAAATTTATGATTTACACATCAAAAAAGTCAGAAAACTAGTAAAATTAGAATTGATAATATTAATAAGACATGACATAATACTGCTTTACTAAAACCAAATCTCTATTTATAACACAACATGGCACTGATCATCCAAGCCCACGCCCTTTTCAAATTGGCCCATCCAAGTAACCAAGGGGCATGGCCAACTTTTCTCTATTCAAATGACTTCTAAAATGCACCCTGCTGTTTTCTAGCTTTCAGCAGATACAGGCACATTAATATATTCAGTCCACCTCTATTTTCCCTCATTAGAGTAAAATAAAGTAGCTTTCCGTGCATTACCTGTAATTACAAATATAAATATGCAGCTAAAATCATGCAGTAACTGGACATTCATATAATAGAAAATATATTTATTATATAGACATTATGCATAATATTGTCAAAATGGCCATCCTGCCTAAAGCAATCTACAAATTCAATGCAATCCCTATAAAATACCAACAGTATTCTTCCTTCAACAAACGAGAACAAATAGTTCTAAAATTCATATGGAACCACAAAAGACCCTGAATAGCCAAAGCAATCCTGAGAAGGAGGAATAAAGCTAGGGGGATTACACTCCCTGACTTCAAGCTCTACTACAAAGCCACAGTAATCAAGTCAATTTGGTACTGGCACCAGAACAGACCTGTAGATCAATGGAACAGAATAGAGAGCCCAGATATAAACCCAAGCATATATGGTCAATTAATATATGATAAAGAAACCATGGATATACAATTGGGAAATGACAGCCTCTTCGACAACTGGTGTTGGCAAAACTGGACAGCTACATATAAGAGAATGAAACTGGATTATTGTCTAACTCCTTACACAAAAATAAACTCAAATGAATCAAAGATCTAATTGTAAGTGATGAAACCATAAAACTCTTAGAAGAAAACATAGGCAAAAATCTCTTGAATATAAACATTGGAGCAACTTTTTCTGAACACATCCACTTGGGCAAGGGAAACAAAGAAAAAATGAACAAATGGGACTACATCAAACTAAAAAGCCTCTGTACAGCAAAGGACACCATCAGTAGAACTTGTATCCCTTGTATCCAACAGTATAGGAGAATGTATTTGTAAATGACATATCCGACAAGGGGTTAACATCCAAAATATATAAAGAACTCACATGCCTTAACACCCAAAAAGCAAATAACCTGATTAAAAAATGGCCAGAGGATATGAACAGACAATTCTCCAAAGAAGAAATTAGGATGGTCAACAGGCACATGAAAAGATACTCCACATTGCTAATTATCAGGGAAATGCAAATTGAAACCACAATGAGATATCACCTCACACCTGTTAGGATGGCCAACATTGAAAAGACTAGGAACAACAAATACTGGTGAAGATGCGGAGAAAGGGGAACCCTCCTACACTGCTCGTGGGAATGTAAATTAGTTCAAACATTGTGGAAACAATATGGAGGTTCCTCAAAAAACTAAGAAGAAATATTATTTGACTGAGGAATTCCACTCCTAGGAATTTACTCAAAGGAAACAAGATCTCAGATTCAAAAAGACATGCACCCCTATGTTTATTGCAGTACTATTTACAATAGCCAAGATATGAAAGCAACCTAAGTGTCCATCAGTAGATGAATGGATAAAGAAGATGTGGTACTTATACACAATGGAATACTATTCAGCCATAAGAAACAAATCCTACCATTTGCAACAACATGGATGAAGCTAGAGGGTATTATACTCAGTGAAATAAGCCAGGCAGAGAAAGACAGGTACCAAATTATTTTCCTCATTTGTGGCATACAATAATGAAGCAAAACTGAAGGAACAAAACACCAGCAGACTCACAGACTACAGGAAGGGACTAGCGGTTACCAAAGGGGAGGAATGGGGGAGGGTGGGTGGGGAGGGAGGGAGAAGGGGATTGAGGGGTATTATGTTTGGTATACATGGTGTGTAGGGGGGTCATGGGGAAGACAGTGTAGCACAGAGAAGACAAGTAGTGACTGTGGCATCTTACTAAACTGATGGACAATGACTTCAATGGAGTATGGGGGGGACTTGATAATATGTGTGAATGTAGTAACCACAGTGTTTTTCGTGTGAAACCTTTGTAAGAGTGTTTATCAATGATACCTTAAGAAATAAAAAAAATGCATCTAAAATCATGCAGTAACTGGAAATTCAGATAACAGAATATATATTTATTATATATACATTATACATATGTATTCTTGCATAAGCATATATGTATATGAAGTGATCATGAGGTTTTAATTTTAAAATAAAAAATAAAAACTTTCTTTAGAAAATTTGTGGGCCTTTGAGGAGCACTGCTTCAGGTATAGCCAGGTCCAGAATGCTGCTTCTCGGTGTAACACTTTATTTCTCCCTCTGGCATGCCCGTCACGTCCAGAAGGAACTGAAATGAATTTTCTTTACCTCCCCCACTTGCATATCCAACTGTCATATTTATTCATTTATCTATTCTAGAAAAACCCATATGCAACATTTCTTGAGCATCTATCTTAACTACTTCTTAAGAACTCTGCAGAATAGATGTTTTAATATTATTGTGTAATTGCAATATTAATATTATTTTTATGATTCTATTTTTAAAATGGGAAATCAGGGGCTCAGTGAGTTTGAGACTTGTCCCAAACTTTATGCATTGGAGGCACTGTTATGATTTAGTTCTGTCTGACCTCAGTTCCCACATTCTTGGTCCTCGCTGTATCTCCAAGGTATTGGAAAGTGCACGGTACATGATAGGTACCCAATAAATATCTTTTGAATGGATACAAGAACAATGAGTATTTCTATTATGCCAATCTTCCTCTTCTCACAGCCTGTAGGAGTTGGTCTCCCCTAGTGACCCCGTATAAGCTTTATATTGCTCCCCTAGAGGCAGCAAGATCCTGGAGAAGAGTAACTTCACTTTGGAATACCCCATTGTGCCTGGCACATATTAGGTGCCCAAATAGGTATTAACCCCAATTGACTTGACCGTTAAGAAGGCATGGCCTGGCCTGGAATCTTTTTCCAAGACTAATTTAGAATTAGTAAAGAGACCTTAGGAAGAGTGTGACAGCATGGGCTGCCTGCCAGCTAGCCTTGGTAAAGGAGCAGGAAGCTTGGGCACCCCCTTAGACTCCCCCTGGGGCTGGACTCCAAGCCTGGCTATGGAATGCAGGCAGAAGCACGTGCTGCAGGGAGCAGCACAGCCACGGAGCAGCAGACAGCTTCAGAGTCACTGGAGCAAGTGGTGTGAATGATGACATGGAAAGGACAGAGACCGTGTTAGAAAAATCCAGGGTGTGCAGAAGTGACAGCCCTGAAAGTTGGGTTGGGTGGAAATGACGAGCCTTCCCCCATCCCCCTTGCAGGAGGGCCTTGGAGAGTGGCTTTTCAGATGCCCTTTTAAGTCCCTGAAATTGCTGCTGGATGGATCAGCTAAGGCTGGGGAGCCCCTTGTGATCGTTTGCAGGATGATTGAGGCTCCCACATTCTTTCTGCCGAAGCTGCTCTTTGGGTCAGACAAAATGCACTGGGAGCTTCGCGGTTCGTTTGTGTTTACATTCTCCCTCTTTACTGCCCTTGTTCTTCTGCTCTTCCAAATACCAGGCTCTTGCTCACCCTCCATTTAACAGAAAACTTGCTTTCCTCCCAGACTGTTTATCATCCTCCCTATGCTGTTTTCCAGCCAGTGAAGGACCCAGCCTGTTATGTTGGCAGTGGGCACCGAGCAGCAGGCAGCTGGACTTGCCCCATATTCTTTCCCCACCCACTTGCCTGGCAGGGGGACGGGGCCTTGCTGTCCTTCTGAAGGAGTTCCCAGATGTCTGATAACTTGCAAGGTGTTTTACCTGGACACCTTTCTGAAGCTTTCCATGCATCACTGAGATGGAGCAGAGGGAGGAAGTCAGTGATGTTTACGCACACCCCAGCCATGACAGACGCTGGATGAGGTGCCCAGTGGGCATCAGCTGGAAATCTCCCAGCCACCTGGCAAGCTCAGTACCATCCTCGCTTTGCAGACCAGGGAACCCAGATCTGCCTGAGACAGTTCGGATGATGAAGAGCAAGAACAATGTCTCCATTCCAGGTCCCTGGCCCCAGCATCCAAGTCCTGTTCACTCAAACACACTGGAGGGGCCTTAGCTTCTCCCCCAGTACCCTACTCTGCAGAAGAGAGCTGGTTCTCCCCTTTCCACTCCTGCAACCAGAGATTCATGAATAAATTAATAAATTCTTGATTTTAAAGAGTTTTGATCCACCATTCTTCTCAGATATGCTTCAGTTCAAAACAGTGTTGATTTATACCAGATTTTCCAGGGCACTTCCAATTTCATGCCATGTTATAATTGTTAATAAATTAATTCTGTCACATCTGTGACTAAGTATGATTTTATTTTATACCATTTTAAGGCATTTCATGTACACAGATTCAGAAACCAGAAAAAAATGTTTTATGATGTCAGATGCCATGCCCCGATTGTTGAATCACAAAATGCATTCCCTCTCTGACGCACACTCAAGTCTAGAACACGATCATGGTGGCCACTGTGCCTTAGTTCTTCTTTTAGGGGCATTTTTTGACAAGAGAAAGTTCTCTATTCTGGGCATGGGAAGAGCTGTTGGGTGTCCCTCATTGCACGCATAAGCCCAGAATATTCCATCCCCTTCTCTAAACAGACTCTTGACCTCAGGGTATCAGCCTCCCCTCCCATACTGAGAGTCAAAATGCTTTTCTCAATCTTGCAGCAGATGGAACAGCTATTCCTGCCCTGAGGATCTCCTCCCCAATCCCTGTTCCAGGGAAATGTGGGGGAAACCTGGGTGGAAGATGAGGCTGGTTGCTATGCCTGGTGCCAAAGAAAAGCCCTGCCCTTTCCAGTCGCCCCCTCCAGCTGGCTCCCCTCCATCCCCATGGATGGGGCTACACATGTTGCCTCCAGCCCTGCTAGAGCCCACTCTTTCCAAATCATTAAGTCATTTCCTCTCTGAGACTTTCTCACTAAAACCTTCCTGTTTGCTTTCACTCTGGAGCTCCCCTCTGAGTTAACGTTTCCTTCCCCATCCCCACTGAGCTGTAATTAATGGCCCAGCACCTTCCAGCTCTCCCTGCCATTGAAGTTTCCCTTCCTACTCTCATCTCTTGGCTGGAGTCTCCACACTATGTACACAGTTGTCCAAAGCCCAGGAATTCCTAAAGCTGTGAGGGAAATGGATTCCTCTCCTGTCCTGCAAAGGATTGCTTGCAGGCTAACTTGGGAAGATGAGTGTCTGCACACAGGCACCAGGGAGAAAACCTTCTGACCAAGGGCTTGTCCTGGGCTCTCCTGACACAGCCAGCAGAGCAGCTTGGAATAATAAATAATCTTTGATGAATGCACTCTGGGCTGCTCGACCTTGAGCAGCTGCTGAGTCCCCCAGAAGATGGCTGTGGCCTCCAGAAAGCCCATTTGGAGGGTGGCATGCACATCTGATACCTGCTGACTTGGGAACAGTTTGCTGTGTAGTCCGGCAGCAACAAGGCAGGACTCTGTGGGGTAGAAGAGGCAGAAGATTTGGGGGCCTTTTGATTCAGTGATGAGATGATGAGCAGAGAGCAGAGAGAGAGCAGAAATGATCACAGTGAACACTGCACCATAGTTGCTCTTCTATCAGGCTTAATTTTTTTAGGGATCCTGTTCTCTATCCCAGGCACACAGAAGTGCGGTATATTTCTCATTACAGGCACAGCCCCAGAATATTCCATCTCCTTCTCCAAACAGATTCTTGATAAAATGGAATGTTATGGGCTGTACTGAGAATGGTGCCCTTTTTGCCCTGTGGGTATTTGGTAAATGTTCATTGAAGCAAGTCAAGCTGAAGTTCAAGAAGTTTATGTGACAGCCAGAAAAAAGATGGCAGTGTGCAATGTGAGGCAGAAATCTCCTCCCCAAATCACATAAAACATGAAAATACAACAAATACAACTAATCCTGAAAAAGTAACCTGAAGACTGCAGAAGAGACTGCCTACATTTGGGGAAGAAGAAAAGACCTCACAGAAAAAGGCAAAGTGGCAAAGCTGTGATCTAGCAGGACCCAAGCCCCCAGCCCACAGGTGGGAGGAAGAGGAATGGAACAGGGAGGGAGTAGAAGCCTAGGGCTGCTGAACACCAGGCCCTGGAGATCTGCTCTAGGAGCACAAACCCACATTACGTGGTGCCCTGGAGATTAGTGGGGTTGGAAAGCAAAGACAGTCAGAACACTCAGAGAGGCTGAGATTCCAGCTGCTTGTGGAGAACAGGTATGCACAACCAGCCCCCAGAACAAAAGAAAGGCAGGCAGTTTG